AATACCGAGTATGCTGTGGCAGTTCCCACCCTCCCCGTGGGTTTCCTGCTGACAGAATTAGTCACTTCAGCTTCTGGTTTGTCCAGTCGGGCGGATTGCAGTTGCTGTCTAAAAATACATTGAGTGGCTGGGTTACGGAGGAGTGGAGAGCTCTGCACAGGACTTCTCCCGGAGCTCTCATCGCCGAGGAGCTGCATGCAGGAGACCTCTGGGCACAACGTGAATCCCTCCGTGCACGCTCCTTTCCCAAGCTTCCTCAGGGAATTTCTACTCGGGGGGGAAACCAAGGTGTGCAAGAAGCGGAGCACCCATGGGAACCAGACGTAGAACATAGGATTCCCAAACCATGATTTGTTTGTTGGAAAATCAAGGTTTTACAAAGATGGGAGGAACTCTGGTTCCCCACACCACAGCTCCAGCCTGGGGCTCGGAGCACTAGTCGAAGGCTCTGCTGCTGTTCCCTTGATCAGCGTGGACTGTCGCTTGCTCTTCCAGCTCAGGAGGAGGCTTGGACAGTTAAGCACTTAATTCCTGACTCGTTACCACCCCCAAAGGATATTTTTGGGAAACCCAAGCACATCCTGACACAGAAGCAGCTCCCTTTTGTCATCTAGCGGCTTTTGGCTTGTGCAGAGGGAGTTTGCTGCTGCCGGGCAGTCCGGTGGTGGTGTGTCCTGGCTCCTCATCCCCGTGGGGATTTCTTTCTGACTCCTCCACCTGATTGGCATGAGACTTCCCTCCCGGGGCACCGCACCAGCCCAGCTGATGCTCCAGCCAGAAACCTCCGTTCCTGCTGCAGGGAGCGGTGACGTTAAGAACCGAGTGAGGAGGAGCAAGAGGAAGTAACTGGGCCTGTGACTAACACGGAGAGAATATCAGGAAAGGTTTTCTATTAATGTTTATAGAAGTAGTTTCATTGAGACAGGTGAGAGGAGTCAGTTTGTGCTGGCGACTGCTTCTTGGGGAGCCATGGACAAGGTGAGAGCAGGACGTGCGTTCACATCCTCCCTGATTTCTATCTGCAGATGCGTCGTGATGAAGGGAATGCTCAGTATGTGCCAGGGAAACATCCAGCAACTGTGAGCTAAAGGAGATAAACCGTCTGGGTGCCTCTCGGTTTAACTGTGATCTTTTGACTCTTTTTGCTTTTGATTCCGTCCGGTTTCTGCCTAGCTGAGAGGAGTGGTGAGCAGCATGAGCTGTGTCTCCATGACAGGTAGGAGAGGTAGCAGAGGGGATGTGTGGCACGATGCATGTGAGGGGCAGAGGCTGAGCTGTGCTGTTCGGACACAGACACGTCTGGTCCTAAGGTCAGCCGGGTGCTCTTCGTGCTGAGCAGGGCAGGGGCGATTACTCAGAGGTCAGGACGGGGCCTCGTCTGAAATCTTCCTGGCACAATCCGATCCAGCATTCCCGTAGTGCTTGGGAGATGCTTCAGATCCTCCGTATGAACGAGGTTCTCCGCAGGGATCAAAGGTCGTGCAGCAGCTTTGCTAAAAAGCCTGACACAAGTGTCAGAGGAGGCTGGGGCCGCAGTGGTGGTCTTAGGTGTGAGCGTGGGCGAGAGGATGAGGCCTGGCGCTCCAAGCAGAGGGCAGGGGCAGGAACCTGTTGGAATCCGTTCTTGTATCTGACTGTAATCACTGGGTGACATCTAGCGAGTACAAATATCAGTGAGTGCTTATGCACCTTATACAGGTGTAATGATAATAATGATAAATAATAATAACAATAGAATTAATCTCCCAAGAGTCCCCACACTCCTTTAGTTCCTCTTGGTGCTGTGGATATCGCTGCTATCTCAGCAGTGTGGCAGTGACACGCTGCAAACTCTCAGCTTTAATGCCCTTCATCCTTTTTTCTATGGTAAGCAGAGACATTGTCTAAAGAAAGATTTATTTCTAAGATCTTTTGCCTAACTCGCTTTGGTTTTGCTGCAGCCGCAGGGTGGTGTGTGTGTGCTTATGTGTAGAGGGGGAAGGAAACCGTGTTTTCTTTCTGATTTAATCACGCTAGTGGTTGTTCCTCTCTACGTGCTTTCTGCACAGATACAGCTGTGAGCTCAGAGGGTGTTAAAACGCTCCGGCCACGGAGCCGAGTGTTTCACAGCCTGACCTCACACAGCAGTACCGTAAACTTGCTGCCGAGCCCCAGGCTTCTCTGCCAGCGTGGTTCCCTCACCTGGCTCGATGAAACTGAGCCCTGGGGAATCGTGCAGGGGGCTGAAGGTGCCTGCAGCCAGAGACGTGGCCACGTTCCTCCTCCTCGCAGGGACTGGAGCTGGAGCGCATCGCATGCGCTGAGCGATGCTGGCCGGTCAGTCAGCGCCTGGGGAGGAGGATGCTGGCTCTCCGTGCTCAGTCACCTGTGGTCACCACTGCACAGATGGCAATACACCACTTGAACCAGCTTCCTCAGGGCGGTCAGGCTTTGAATAGGGGTTTCTTTGCGCTCCCAGCTGCTAGAGGAGGCGCGATTTCTGCGCGTCATTTTACCACTGCTGCAACCCTTCAATATTAGGCAAGAAGTGCAGGATCCCCCTCTCAGAGAAGAAAAGCCATCTGGTTGAATTCGACCTGCCAGGGTATTATTGAGGCTGAGATTTAACAGCCTGTACCCAGTTGTTGTTACCCAACCAGACACACATTCCCCTTGGAGCTGGGGCAGGAGGCTCCTCCTGCTCACCCCAGGAAGCCCGGGAGAGCTGCTGCATGAGCATCACTGAAGCCCTGGAGGTTGTTCTCCTGCCACAGGCTCCTGCAGGTGTTAGAAGTGACTTAAATACCTTCCTTCTGCTAGCAGCAGCACATCGGGTGGTGTGTCAGGCTCTAGGCAACCCTGATTCTGTCTGAAGAGTGCCTTGGTTGGAGGCATAGGCGTGTATTTAAGATCCATTTGTGTGCCTCCTGTTAGGAGTTTCCTTGGTTTACATTTTCAAGTTTTCCTGTGTGATCGTGGAAGGCAAACAGGCGAGAGCACCCCCGTGGCACCGTTCTTGTGGCTTTGCAGAGCCTCCTCTTTCTCCTGGCGGTGGCTGGATGTTGATGACAGAAAGCAGTCGGGCACCTCGAGGTGCTGTGGTTTGGGCTGGTTTGTTTTTTGCAGTAATAAATAACCCAAACGGAGGCTTCCTTCCCCATGCTGTAGCGGAGAGCAGCTCAAGGATAAACGCAGCTTGTTCCGAGAGCAAGTGATGTGAGGACGCGTGGGCTGCTCTCATCTCGATGGCCTTCTAGGCAGTGTTGGCAGAGGGTTAAATGTACGCAGCCCAACAGCAGCGGAGGGTAAGGTGCTTCCCCTGCCCTGTCCCCGTTGGTTTGCGTAGGGCCTCAGGCTAACACGTCAGGAGAGGCTGTGCTGAAGTGTGGAGGCTGGGAGGAGCCTGGAAAAAAAAAAATGTGGCAGGAGAGGACAGAGGTTGGGTAGGGAAGGGCAGGAGGAGTGGGAGGGTGATGCAGGTGGATGGGCTGTCCTGCAGGGAGCATCGCTCATCGGGAGGGTGCCGTAGGCTCAGAGGTCTCTGCCAACGTGCTGTGTGCTCTGTGTGCTTCTGGGTGTCTGTGACATTTGTCCTCGTGCAGCTGGTGATGTTTCTGAGCTCTTACACCGGCTGGCAGAGGGCAGGCAGCATCCGACCCGGGCTCACGTTTGCAGGGACGACATTTCCCCCTCGCAAAGCGCAGGAGTGCGTTTGTAAGTGGCGAAGGTGTGCCGGTGGGCTCTGTGTTGCCGTGTCCTTGCTGTCACCCGGAGCCCTGTGCCCCTGCCTGGCCACGCAGCCAGCGAGCTGCCAGATCCCCGTAAGGCTTAGGATGGAGGGGCAGTGGCAGGGACAGCGAGGTGCCCTCTTGCCCCCTGCTTTGGGCAGCTCACAGTGGCCAGAGGGATGCTCCTGCCTGGACAAATTCCTGGCAGTGTGGCTCTGCTCTCCCAGCTACACCCTCCGGATTTTGTAAGAAGAGCGTGAAGTAATCCCTCCTCCTCCTTGTACGGGCTGAGTGGACACGCGAGCCAAGCCTGTCTCATCGGGCAGCTCTGTGCTGGGAAGCGGGCTGTCCCCGCCACCGTGCCCCTTTCTGAGGATGGAGCACGCTGCTCCGATTCCCTCTCTGGCCGGCACAGGTAGCGTTGGCAGGGCAAGGATGGAAGAAGGTAAACCAGGGCCAAAAGGTGCAAGAAAGGGAAACTCCTGAGCGCTGAGGGCTTGCTGACATCCCTCCCTGTCCTGTGGTTTCATCCTGTGCCTGCAGAGCAGCAGGGTGCTTATAGCTGTGTGCTGCAGGTGGCATCCCTCGCTCCTGGGTGGCTGCCTCGGAGACCTGCCCTTTATTTTCCAGCACGCTTTGTCCTGAGAGCCTGGCTGTGGGGATTCGTTCTGTGGCCGGCTTTTTGTTTTATTTCCTTTCCCAGGTGTTTGCTGCGAGGGGGAAATCCAGGCAGGGTTGTAGGAGTTTTGGGCAGACACACAGAGCTGTGTGGATGTGTGGGGAGGAAGTAGCTCGTTTTCTTCATTTACAGGAATGTTATTTATAGCCTGCCGTGTCTGTCGGGGTGAGGGTGACACGCCTGCCACATAGCAGGCATTTCGGGGGGTTGGACCCGTGTCTGTAGTTTCACCTGCCGGGAGGCAGAGATCTTGGAGGTCCTGGGGCTGTGACCTGCTGTGGTCACGGGGTGTGCGGGGCCTCGCCCCGGAGTTTGCTCGGATTGATCACCTTGGATCATGCCCAAAAGGAAGCACCTACTTCCTTCTGGTGAGTGAGGAAGAGGCACGTGCTAGCACTGCGTGTCTGCGAGCAGAAGCCTTCGGGGCTTGGTCTGCCACTGGTGGCTGCGGAGCTGCTGGCACCGAGGCGCCTTGTGCTCTTGGTGATGCTCTGAGGCCACAGCTCTGTGGTTCTGCTCCATCCTTGCATGGCAGACTGCCCTGGGGTTGGGCATCTGCAGAGCAGGCTCTGGGAATGGCCTCTCCATTGTCCTGCTCTCCCTGCCCCTCCTAGGACATGAACAACGTGGAGGAAGGGGTGGAGTTCCTCCCGGCCATGAACTCCAAGAAGATGGAGAAGCGTGGCCCAAAGCGACGTGTGGTCGTTGCCATCATGATCGTTGCTTTTCTGCTCATCTCCCTCATCATCGGCCTCCTGGTTTGGCACTTCAAATGTGAGTGTGAGGTTCAACCAACTCCAAGGGGTTGGGTGGGGGCATGCCCCAGGAGCATATCCCTGCTGCTCTGGGCTCGGGGGAGCTTCGTTACCGTGCGTTGCTCACATGGGACCTTAGCAGCAGTGACAGCCAGAGCTTCCAGAAAGCAGGGAGCCCGTTTCTGCTTCTTCTGACTGCCTTTCTCCGTGAAATGTCGCCTTCCAGATAGGAAAGCGCCCGTCCAGAAGGTTTTCAACGGCCACCTGCGGGTTCTGAACTGGGATTTCATTGATGCCTACGAGAACTCCAGCTCACCAGAGTTCACCATGCTGGCCAAGAAGGTGAAGAGCACGGTAAGAGCTCTTGGATCCCTCCACCTGCTTTTTTTTTTTTCTCTTGCCCTGTGGCCACAGGGTTGCTGCTTGTAAGGCTGCTTGGAGCTGTCTCGCTCCTCCTAACTCTCCCTGCTCCTCACGAGTTGTTTGACTCGCTGAGCTGCTCACGGGGAGCCTGCCTTTCACCTGGATTTTGGTGTCACAGCTCCGCCCCGCTGCCGCTGTGCCTCCCTGCCCCTGCAGCTCAGTGTGCCTATGGGGCTGCCTGGGCAAACCCCAGGACCAAAGGGAGAGCCAGGTCTGGCGGTCAGGGTCAGAGAAGAAATGCAGCTCTGCAGCTGAGCAGGCTTTGGGGCTGGGGGCTGAGGCCAGAGCTGGCTTCAGGAGTCAGGACACTTCTCCCTTCTCCTTCTTTCAGCTCTCCTTCTTCCGCTTTTTGGCCCCTGCAGGTTCCTGCACCCCAGGGATGCTGGGTATGTGCTCTGATTTTCCTCTGTCTGTCTTTAGCCTTCCACCCTCCTCACTTCTAGCCGTGCTGAACTCTTTAAACTCCTTTTAGGTGGAGGAGATCTACAGGAGTCATCCAGATATTGGCCCATACCACAAGGAGACAGTAGTAACTGCGTTCAGGTGGGTGTCAGGAGATGCTGCCTGAGGGTGGGAGTGTAGGGGGCAATTCTGGGGTGTCCCATGGCCGTAGACCTCTTTGCTGGGCTGCTCCAGAAAGAGGTGACTACTGAGGAGCAGTAGCCACTCCAAGTGACATTTTAAAGGGTGGGCAGTGAAAAGCAACCTCAAAAGCCTTGTGCTGAGACAGCGTATTCTGTCTGTTTCTCACGAGGAGAGGTCTTGGGGAAGTCAAGGTGTGGCGCAGTAACAGCCCTGTGAGCCACCATGGCTGGTGCCTGGCAGCTCGGGAAGGATTCCATGGGCTGGTGGAGGCCTCTGCTGGGCTGCAGTTTGCTCAGCTTGTTATTGAGATTCCCTTCCCCATGGCCATCCTCCATAAAGGGCTTACCAAGTAGCCTGGCCCTCTCTTCTGTTATATCTGCCCTCCTGTGTCTGGCCTTGCTCTCATCCCATAATCGCTCTCCTCTGCAGCGAAGGCAGCGTCATTGCCTACTACTGGTCAGAGTTTAGTCGTCCCCAAGTACCGCGAGAAGGATCTTGACAGGGCCATGGCGGACAAGCAGAGCCTGATCCAGAAGCTGAACCCGCGGCTGCGAAACCCCGTGCTGAAGGTGGAGTCGATTGTCGCTTTCCGTGAGTGCTGTCTCAGTGACTCCTGGGCCTCTGCGTGGGACAGGGGAGGAAGGGGGACTCTTGGTGCCTGGCGTGTCACTGGAGGGGTTTTGCTGCCAGCTGCACCCCTCCTTTGGGTGCCTTTGGCTGCAGGGGCGGCTTGAAGGGTGAGCGTAAGGACCCCACTTGGTGGTCCACAAAGATGGAGGAAGCTGTGCGCATTGCTCCCGTTCATTTGAACACTGTCTTCTCCTCTGAGCCCCTCTGGAGAGGGCCAGGGATCAATCCTCCCTCCTGCAGGGGATAAGTTTGGTCACTCAGATTCCTAGGGCACGCACTGGGGCTCTGCTCGTGGAGGCAGGGGAAGGGGCAGCTCTCCCTGGTCAGATTGCCATGCAGACCCCAGAGACCTCTGCAGCTTTGCGCACAGGGACTTTCTACAGCTCACAGGATGACATCACTTCTGTTTTCTCCTGCAGCTGCTGACCCCAGCATTGCTCAGTCTTCTCGGGACAGTAAGTACAGCTCTTCTTCAGTCTCCCAATGGCCTCTCTGCATCCCCAGGGGTCTCCAGGGTGGTGATTTGCATTCTGGGGTGAGGAGGTGCCTGAAACGGGGTGCTCTGCCTGTGGGGCAGACCTCCATGTGCTGCTTGGAGCTGCTTTGGGGTTGGCCAGACGTGCTGTTATCTAGCAGTGGTGGGCGGCCCAGTCTGTCCTTCCCCTTTGTAGATGGAGGGAGATAACAAGGGTGCTCCCTAAAGGAGGCATCTCCCCAGGGACGCCCTGCAGGCAGGCGAGGGAACAATGAGTGCCACTCTCTGCTTCTTGGGAAAAGGCAAATCAAAACCTCAACGTGTCTGCTGTCCTCTTCCTTGAACCCTGCACCCATGGGAAAGATCTCTCTCCCTCCTCATTTGTCCTGCTAACTCTTCCCCGTTCTCCTGGGCAGATAGCTGCCTTTTTGCCCTCCACGCCAAGGAAGGGGAGATCACCAGTTTCACCACGCCGGGGTTCCCCAACAGCCCGTACCCCAACAACGCACGCTGCTACTGGACGCTGAGGGCGGACGCCAACTCTGTCATCAGCCTGACCTTCAGGACGCTGGAACTGGAGCAGTGCACAGACGATGGTGACTACATCAAGGTGTACAACTCTCTGAGCCCCGTGGAGCCCCACGCTTTGGTGAGGTGAGCAGAGCATCTCCAGGGTTTGGTGCTCCTCCATGGGGTGGGGAAATAGGGAAGAGGGTGATTTGTGTTAGCTCCCCATTAAGTTTCTGTATGGCAGTGGTGTGGCAGGGTGATGGTGAGCTGCACAGAAGTGCTGCTGGGAGCGGGGCTCCTGTCCCTGCTCCTTGGTGCTCGGTGCCACTGGAGGCTCTCTCTGCAGCTGTCTAATACATTTTGTTCCTTTCTTCCTAGGCTGTGTGGGAATTATGCTCCTTCCTACAACCTGACCTTCCTGTCCTCCCAGAATGTTATGCTCGTCACGTTGATTACCAACAAGGAGGGGAGATTCCCTGGCTTTAAGGCTGAGTTCTTCCAGCTCCCAAAGACGAAAGGTGGGTGTATGCCTTGGCCCAGTTTCCCTCAGCATCTCTCTGCCAGGGGCAGCTGTGGCTGCAGTCAGTTTGCCAGGGATGTTTCCAGGGCTGGGAGATGTGGATGCAGGTCTCACTTTGGCTCTTTGAGCCTGCCTTGTCCACAGTGCTCTTGGCTGCTGTAATGATGTCCTGTGAGGAGGGCAAAATAAGAATTATGTTGGATTAGACATGCAGATAGATGTATGCAGGAAGCACCTAATTGATCTCCTGGGTTCTCTCCAAGTCTTGGAGCAGGAGCTTTCTCTAGAGATCAACTTAACCTTGTTAGAGGCTGATGCATCTGCCTCTTTTCCTGCCCCAGGCAATAGCCAGCTATGCCTTGGGAAAGCCACATCTCTTTGAATCTCTAACCTGTTTTCATCTTCCTACTTATCTTCCAGTCTGCGGTGGGACCCTGAAAGGAGAGAGCGGCACCTTCACTACTCCCTTTTACCCAGCACACTACCCCCCAGCCTTGGACTGCGTCTGGAACATCGAGGTAACGCAGTCCCCTCTTCGCCTTAATTAGTGTGTCAAATAAACCTGCTTATGCAGGACACAGTGCAAATGAGCTCACAGCAGATGCTGCCTGGAGGCTTAGTCTGACGTGGCTGGAGGGAGGCTTTAGGACTGGTGTCAAAGGCAGAAGAAGCTGAGAGAGGCCTGAACCCTGTGTGACTCTCACTGTAGCCTCCAGTCGCTGTAACTTTACACAAAGCACTTGAGGATTTGGGCTTCGGGGCAGACCTGCCACTTGCTGGTAAAATTGGTGGCAGGGCAACCTGGGAGAGCAGGCACTGTTGACAAACGCCTGGCTTCAGCCTCTGTTTTGTGCTTCTTTAATCTGGGATCCTGGGGTCAGCAAGCCAAGTGACTGAATGACAAGGGGAGCAGTAATGGCTTTTTGGGAAGGGAGTTTTTCTGTTGACTTCTTTCCTTTTTTGGTTGTCTTCTGTCCCTCCCCTCAAACACAACCTTTAACCCATGAAACTTATTCCCATTTTCTGTGCTTCAGAAAACCTGCATGCCTCTGCTTCCATCCTCAGGTTCCCTCTAAAAAGAACGTGAAGGTGCGTTTCAACATGTTCTTTGTGTTGGAGCCGGGGATCCCAGTCAGCTCCTGCCCCAAGGACTATGTTCAGATCAACAACACGAGGTAGGCATCAGGCTGTCTGTCTGACCTGTGGCTTTGGTCCTTGGAGGGGCTGCGTTTCGTTATATGGCACCTTGTGCATTCCTTAAACTTGCCGGGGGAGCAGAGGTGCTGAAGCTTTTTGGAATATGATGAGGCAGAAGAGTGCTTGGGTCTGACCTGCTCTCAAAGCTCAGTGCCCAGTCTGGAGATCAGACAATGGGTTTGTTGCATGCTGCAGCTGAAAGAAAAAAAAAAAACAAAACACAAAGGCAGGCTGTGGAGTATCACATCCTAGGCATCACATGCAGAAAGGCAGATCCATGCAGAAACATCTGGCCTGATTTTGCTTGAATGGGTATTTCTCCATTATTAGGGTGACTGCATTGCATTCTGTGATGCACTCGCTGTTACATTTACTGTTAACTCTTGCACAACCTAATGGCAGCTGGACTGAAAATACAGCTTGGTACGGCATATGGGAAGTGAGCAGGGTTGATTCACAACATTCTGGGTGAGAGAGCTGGCCCTTCCTTGAGGAGAAAGAGTTTCAAAGTCAGAATCTGTGGCTGCAATCCTTCTAGTTCCCGCAGGGGTGCCTGTGTAAGGGGGTTTCCTACCAGCCTGCCATGGGGTGGGATCCTGGGGCTTTAGAGGCTGCACACACCCAGAGACCTGATGGGTCCAAGATCAGAGAGAGAGCGATCAGCATGACATCACAGATCTAGATGAGCTTCTGCCTGGCTGTTTTCAAGGCCCCAGCCTTCTGCCAGATGCAGCAAATTTCAGCTCCCGTGTGCGGCCCTGCTTCCTTCTGCCTAAGCTGGGCATGAGGAGTTCCCCCTTTCTGGTGATGGAGAATGCAGGGGTGGAAGAAGGGCTGCTCAGTGCTGATCTATAGCACTGCACTGGTCTTTGTGTTGTCTCCCTTCAGGTACTGTGGGGAGCGTTCCCAGTTTGTGGTGGCCAGTACCACCAACAAAATCGAGGTCCGGTTCCACTCAGACCTGTCGTACACAGACACTGGTTTCTCTGCTGAGTACCTGTCCTACGACTCCAGTGACCGTAAGTTGAAATCTTGAGGCTGCAGAGGGAAAATAATTTGCCAGATGTCTGCTGCAGACTAGATAACTTCTCCTCTGCTGCCCTGTAAATCATGAAGCACACTTTTTGGGGCAACAGGAGCACGTCTTATTTTCCTGCGAACCTCCTTGTATTCCTCCGTTCTGAGGAAAAGCTGTTTTTAACGGTGGATGCTGTAAGCAGGCCGCCCAGAGCACTAGGACTGTTGTGTGCTTTGAGGAAGTGCCACAGACTGAAGGACTCACGTCTTTTTACATCTTTCCTCCCTCTCAGCCTGCCCTGGCAAGTTTGCCTGCAACACGGGCCGCTGCATTGAGAAAAGCATGCGCTGCGACGGGTGGATAGACTGCGTAGATGGCAGCGACGAGAGGTCCTGCGGTGAGTCTGTCCTTTCTTTTGGCTTTTATTCCGAAGGGTGCACCGCCCCAGGGGGCTGGGGGTGGTGCTGGGCTAACGTGCTGTGCTGAGCCCTGCGGGTGAGCTGCCTGCCTGCCTTGCTGGCTAGCACCGGTACTGCCTCACCCTGCACGCCAGAGTGAGAGGCCATTGGTGCGGGGATCAATTTGGGATCCTTTCCAATATAGGAGACGTGGGTTCATGCCAATCTAGGCCTCTCCCAGTGGGATCTCCCCTGCTTTCCAGTCCCTCCCAACTGGGAATGTTTTCCCATTTAGTCCTCCTGGCTCTTGAGGACTTGGCTGTCTGAGCTGGGTGGATGCGTTGTGTTATGGAACTGGGCAGGAGCTGCAGAGTACATGTGGAAAACCCGTGTGATACCACATGGGTGTTGTTTCTTTGTGCAACAGTTTTTCCTCTTGGATTCACAGAGCAATCCCATAGAAAATGTGATTGTCCAGGGTCTGAAGTTAATTAGAGATGAGAGCCTCTCCTGCTGTGGGTTCTTGGTGCCAGGTCTGGGGCTGTTTTCTGAGGGAGTGTGCTGCTGGCCTGGCTGCCCTCTCGCTGCCCTGGGTGGTGAGGGGCCACCCTGGTGATCTGGGTATCTCAAGTGCTCTCCCACTGCTACAGCAACGCCTCTCATTCCAGTGCTGCCTCTGCCTGTCCTGCTGCTGTTAGGCTGGTGAAATGTGAGCTTCAGCTTTACTGTTAGATGAAGACATTTTAGCTCTCCAGATAGTCGTGTCTGCTGGGCAGTGGAAACACCGTGTTATAGCTCAAGGGCACGTGTATTTATGGACGTGTGCTTGTTCTGGTGCACCTGTTCCCATGTGCTTGCAGACCCACTGGGGGAGCCACCCAGATCTTCCTGTGACGTTACGGTGGGCACAACGGCAGATGTGTGGCTGGTGACCCAGGGGTGCCTTTGCAGGCCCTCCCCTGATTTCTCTCTGTCCCTTTGCAGTCTGTACCGAGCAGCAGTTCAGGTGCCAGAACGGCTGGTGCAAGCCCAAGTTCTGGGTCTGTGACAACGTGAACGACTGCGGCGATGACAGCGACGAGCTGCAGTGCAGTAAGTAACTTCCCTGCAGGCACAGGGCTGAGGGCTTGAGCAAGGTGAAGGGGGCGATGGAGGCACGTGGGGCGGAGGAAGCCAAGTGCTGTGCTGGAGCCCAAAACGGCATGGGGAGGCCTCACCTGGAACCCTGCAGGGCAGCTTTCCTTGAGACAACACAGGAGCCTCAGGTGGGAGCTTGAGGATGAGTAAAAGTGTAAGAAACATAACGTTTTGGGAAAGGAAGGATTGCATAAATTGGTGGTGTGCAGTTTAGAGAAGAAAAGGCTGGGGGCGCAGGCAATGGGTGTTTGTGTTGTAGCTGCAGAGGCTTCACCTGCCCTAGGGGAGAGAGAGGTGGATGCAGCCATGTAGGTTTTGTGCCCTGCACCTCCCTGGTGAGGTGTCAGTGCCTGGCTGTTCTCAGGAGCTGTTTTTTCCCCAGATTGTGGAAACAGCAGCTTCAAGTGCAACAGCGGGAAATGCATCCCCAACACGCAGAAGTGCGATGGCAAGGACGACTGTGGAGATGGGAGTGATGAAGGCAGCTGTAACAGAGGTGAGGATGGGTCTGCAGGGGACCTCTCTTGAAATGCAGCCTCTTGTGGATGTGCTCATGGCTGGGCATCCTGGAGAGCATTCCTGCATCTGCTGGCAATGTCCTGGGGAGGGCACAAGTGGTGAAGGGCCCCTGAACATCACGATTTTCCCAGAACTGGCACTAATCCTTCTCTCTTTGGCCTGCCTGCAGCAGGTACAACAGTCACCTGCAAGGAATACACGTACAAGTGCCGCAGCGGACTCTGCATCACCAAACAGAACCCAGAATGTGATGGCGAGAAGGACTGCGAGGACAATTCTGATGAGGACAACTGCAGTGAGTACCCAAAGGGGAGACATGGGTTTCTGGGCTGGACCCCTCAGATAAACACTGAAGTAGGGTGGAGAGAGCCCCTGGGCATTTCTACACAACCGTTCAGATCTGGAAATAGCTGAGCGGTGTTGTGCTGAGTGTCTGTGTTGTACATTTAGAGAGGGCTCACACTGATATCAGACAATAATTTGTCTACACATTTACTGACTTGGCCGGTAAATGTTTTAGCAAATTTGGTGTTTGTGCTCCTAAGCTGATAGCATCAGCCATCCCTGGTGTAGGTAATGGGGCACTTGTGCTGTGGGAGATGTCCCAGAGGAAAGAAGGGGAGGTGCTGAACAGAAACCAGAGTATTTAAGTGCCCCCTCTCCTTCCTCACCCCAGACTGCGGGATCCGCTCCTTTACTAGGAAGTCACGGATCGTCGGCGGGCAGAACTCGGACATGGGAGAGTGGCCGTGGCAGGTCAGCCTCCACGTCACAGGCCAGGGCCACGTCTGTGGGGCCTCGCTCGTCTCAGAGACCTGGCTGGTGTCTGCAGCACACTGCTTCCTGGAACTGCAGGATGCCAGGTAGGTGGGAGCCCAAGGGCTGCTTCTGCCGGGCTCACTGAGCTGGGGACACTTTGCTGCAGGGCCTGGGGACACTTGTCTGTGACAGATTTTGGCCTTGGCCACTGCCTGATTTAACACTCTGAGACAGCTGGGTTTTGGGAAGAGTCTCGTAGTGAAGTGGAAGCAGACATTTGAAGTACACAAGTGTTTATTTGTTGAGATGTCAGATCGGTGCCCTGTGCTCTTGCAGTCACTACAGTGATTGACACGTGGTGGGATTCAAGGTGACGGGGCACCCAGGCAGCTGCACACCCACTTTTAGCCATTTGCTTGTCTCAAGAAGAAACAATATTTTTTACAGGCACTTCTCCAGGAAACTTTTTAAGATGGTGGGCAGGGTTCATGAGCTGGGACATCTGCACGAGCTCTGCAAGCCAGAGCCTCACACTGCCCCGTGCCTTGTGCCTTGCAGCTGCCACCTTATGCAGAGAAAAAATCAGAAAGGCCAAAGCCCAGCACGAGCTCAGCCTGGCCACTATGGTTAAGGATAAAAAAAAATGTTTTTATAAATACATTAATGGCAAGAGGAGGGCTAAAGAGAATCTCCATTCTTTACTGGATGCAGGGGGGAACATGACTACAGAGGATAAGGAAAAGGCTGAGGTTTTTAATGCCTTCTTTGCATGGACAGGATGGGTTGGTGGGCAGAGGCTAAGGGTTGAGGTTTGACTTGGCTCAGGGCCGGGTCCTGCACTTTGTCCACAACAACTCCATGCAGTGTCACAGGCTGGGGGAAATGTGGCTGGGAAGCTGTGCAGAGGAAAAGGATCTGGGGGTGATGACTGATGCTCGCCTGCACATGAGCCAGCAGTGTGCCCAGGTGGCCAAGAAGGCCAGCGGCCTCCTGGCTTGTGTCAGGAACAGTGCAGCCAGCAGGAACAGGGAGGTGATCATTCCCCTGTACTCTGCTCTGGTGAGGCCGCACCTCGAGTGCTGTGTTCAGGTTGGGCCCCTCACTACCAGAAGGACATCGAGGGCCTGGAGCGTGTCCAGAGCAGGGCTACGAAGCTGGTGAAGGGCCTGGAGCACAAGTCCAGTGAGGAGTGGCTGAGGGAACTGGCGGTGTTTAGACTGGAGAAGAGGAGGCTCAGGGCAGACCTCATTGCTCTCTGCAACTGCCTCAAAGGAAGCTGTGGGGAGCTGGGGATCGCCTCTTCTCACAGGTGACCAGTGACAGGACCAGAGGGACCTCAAGTTGCACCAGGGGAGGTTCAGGTTGGAAATGAGGAGACATTTCAGCTCAGAAAGAGCAGTCGGGCACTGGGACGTGTTGCCCAGGGAGGTGGTGGAGTCACCATCCCTGGGAGTGTTCAAGGAAAGGTTGGATGTGGTGCTTGGGGACATGGTTTAGTGGGTGATATAGGTGGTAGGTGGTAGGGGGTGGTTGGAGCAGATGATCTTGGAGGGCTTTTCCAACCTTAAGGACTCTGTGATTCTACCCGCCCCCAGCCAGTGGACAGCCTACCTGGGCCTGACTGACCAGGGCAACCGCAACGACGCCAACGTGCAAACGAGGAAAATCAAGCGCATCATCTCCCACCCCTACTTCAACGACTACACCTATGACTATGATATTGCTGTGATGGAGCTGCAGAGTCCTGTCACCTTCTCCTCTGTCGTCCAGCCCATCTGCCTGCCTGATTCCACCCACCAATTCCCTGTGGGCAAAGACCTGTGGGTGACTGGATGGGGAGCAACTGTGGAAGGAGGTGAGCACTGGCAGTGGATTTGGGGCTGCGTGGCTGTAGGGAAAAGGGCAGATGGGTGATTCCAGCTTAAGCAGCTCAGTCTGCCTTGAGACTGGAATCAGATGAGGTTCCGCTGGGAGTACATGCAGTTCATGTCTCAGTTCTGCTGGGAAAATTGTATTAGGAAAAAGCAGGTTGTGGCAGAGCCCGGGTCCAAGAGAAGCACACAGGTTGATGTCTGCACAGGGGAGGGAACTGCTGCTCAAAACAGCCGTGTGCTTGAACTGTTCCTCTGTCCTTGCAGGCAGTGGAGCCAGCATCTTGCAGAAAGCAGAGATCCGGGTGATCAACCAGACCATCTGCAACCAGCTGCTGTCCGGCCAGCTGACGCCACGCATGATGTGTGTGGGGATCCTGACGGGAGGTGTGGATGCGTGCCAGGTAGGCAAGCGGTGTGACAGCACTGGTTCAGTGCTGTTAGCAGGAGTTGCAGCAAGCCAGGCCCCTTGCTCAGCACTATTTCTTCTGGCGCGTGGACTCGCATTCCCCTACTTAACACACTGCACAGCTATGTGGCTCCTTGGTTCAGACAACAGACAGATTGGACTGCTCATCAGCAGTAAATTGACTTAGTCTCAAAAATGGCTCCCCAGGTAGGAGAGTGGTGCAGCTGTCCTCTGCTTTATCGCTGTTACTGAGCGCCATAGTTAGCAAGACAGGACATTTGTTTGGCTGTTTTTATTCTAGCATTTTGACTCATATTGCCACACTTAGATATCTGTTACAAATCTGTCCCATTCTTTCTTGATTCAGGGCGTGGCTAAATTGGAATGGATGTGAGCAGGAAATTGTATTGACTTAATCTCAAAAATAACTCCAGGGTTCCCTTCAAAGGCCAAAGAATTATTTCATACTACTTTGTGATTGTTTTTGTCATTAATACTTTGCTAGACCTCGTACTGAGTCAGTGCTTACGGTACTGTTTGTTTTTGTGCAGGGAGACTCTGGAGGGCCACTGATCAGCGTGGAAGCCAACAGTCGGATGTTCCTGGCGGGCGTCGTGAGCTGGGGCGATGGCTGTGCACAGAAGGAGAAGCCTGGCGTCTACAGCCGGGTCACCGCGCTGCGAGGGTGGATCAAACAGCACACGGGCCTTTAGGGACACGCTCAGCCCTCCGTGGACACAAATGCCTCTTGTACACCGCCGGCTGGGCACTGACCCAGCCGCGACCAGCGGCCCCGTGGCATTGTCCTCCCTGCACGTGGCGGCGGTGAGCAGAGAGCTGCCTCGACTGTGAACTTCAACCCTCCCTCTACCTCGCTGCGAGTGAGTGCCTGGGACGCCCAGCCTTGGACTGTTGTCCATATTTAAAGCGTGTGTGTACCGAGCAGCCAGAGCTGCTGTAGTTTAGGCCTTAGTACTTCTACCCTGAACCCAAATCTCAGTTTAGAAATCAATGCCTAGGTATAAGAAATTTCCCTTTGTGGGCAAGCTTGTGCAGCTCCCATAAAGAACTTGAATGAACAGCCATTCAAATACATACAAAACTAAACTAAAAGACAAAAATATTAAAGATTTTTTTAAAAACTGTTTTTAGAGGCAAACTTTACTGTGACAGGTTCAAAACCAAGCTTTCAGAATATATTCCATCTCTTTCGCTTGTTTTTGAACTGCCATTTGCACCGCTTTGTCTGGTCTTCAGTGATGGAGGGTGGGGGGAAGAAGTTCTCACCGGGGTTCAGCCCTTTGGATCCCACCACTGGCACGGTCCCAGGCCGTGGTTTCCTGCCGTCCTTTGCCTGACTTAGCTTCTGTCCTCCTCTGCGTCCGAGGCCTTGTGAGGATCCAAGGGCTGCAGCACTGAAGGAGAGCAGTAAGGCTGAAACATGCTGCCACTCACCTCGAAGGAAACCATGCTGGGGTCTGCCAGCACGTCCTGGGTGCCAGTGTCTGCATTGAGGGCTGGGCAGGGTGGCCTTACCCATGTGCCTTAACACGATGCTCGGGGTTAGCTGGCAGCTTCAGCTGCTTGGTCCCACAGGGCAGCCCTGCACTCAGGTAGCTGTGGTGGACAGGACCACCACACAGTGACTTCCTCGCTGAAGGCAGCCTCCAGGGACAAGCTGGCGAAGGAGCTGAAGGGCTTGACTGAACGTGTTCCTGCAGCTTGTCCCTGCAATGACAATGTGGGTTGGCTCTGCCAGCTCCAAGGCTGACAGACACCAGACTCCTCCACTCTTTTTACTTTTGTAAGGAAAATACAACAATGTGACTTCTGAATGTGCTGATTTGATTTCTTTTTTTCTGTGTAGCCAGGTCCTTGCCCTAGAAGAGCATACTCCCATCGAGATTAGTCAGACCTGTAAATATATCGTTTTGTAAAACTCTATGAAGTGGAGATGCTCTAATAAACTGCGATATTTTCTAATCCTCTGGCTGTGTGGTTCTTATATGGTTCCTCATGGGCTTCTGTGGAGGTGCTCCTGAGACCCTGCAGCACAGATCCCTACTCCCAACTGTGACCAGCTCTCCAAGGAGGATGCTGAGCATCCTAACTGGAAATACTGCAAAACCCTTTACCTCAGGCCCCAGTGTGCTGTTTCAGGCATCCCCAAGGACATCAGCCAGGTTCCAGTGTTTCCAGAAGCTGGAGAGGCCCAGGAGGGATTTTTTCACACTACTCCAAGCACAGGGGCACTGAGCACTAACATGAGGCAGTTCTGGAGCCAGCTTCCCACCTGGAGCCACACAGGCGCATCCCCACAGCCCAGCACTCACCTCCCATCAGACTGCTGGGAGCTGGTGCAGGTCACCAGGCCGAGCTGCTGGGCTTCCCTCCACAGCTAGCACTGGTTGCATCTGGGCACGCAAGTGCGCTGCCTGTTCCTCATGCAGGAAAGTGGGCCCTAAGGAAAAAACAGGAAAACAAACAAAAAAAAACACAGCACCAACTTGTTTCCAGCCTAGATACAGGGTGCAGCTGGTTTTGTGCAGCAGTGGCTGCTCTGTTCCTGCCCCCTTCTTTATCCAGGTGACAAAAGGATTTTAACAGTTCCATAATCTCACCACCGAGAGCTTCCAAGACGCAGATGGCTGGCATGCTGGAAGTGTCCAGGCACTCCAGGAGCAGGGCTCTGAGGGTGTATAGGGGACAGCCCCAGCCTCACTTATCCCTACAAAGAAACATTTTTAATATCTGTGCTTCCACAACACTGCAACAACATAAAAGCGTTTACTGTGAGCCTTGATCTCTGACACAACACTGGCACCTGGGTGGCTCAGCGCTGGGCTGGGCGCCCCCGGCTGCAGCTCTCCCTTCTGGCCGAGCTCTCAGCAGCTCCCTCGGGAGTGATGCTGGCTCTGGCACAGCCGCCCTGAAGCCATTTGCCAGCTGTCCTGGTACAAGGCGCCTCTGCTGCAAGGCACGGCAGTGCTGGGAGTGTTTGGCTGCAGTGTGGGGTGTGCTAAATCTGCTCTGCACCCCAAGGGACAGACTGCAGCAGGAGGACCCTGCCTGAAGCTGTCGCTTGTTCAGCTGCCTGCGGAGCCGGGCTCCGCGTTGCTGTGTTGCCCTGTGGCTGGCACCTCGTGGAAGGAAGCTGCTGTAGGTGCAATGTTCAGCTTCAACGCTGCTTCTGTGTCCAAACCACGCTCTGCAGGGACTGCTTGGGGTCTTCCCTCTCCCCACACCCTCTTCTTGCAGTTCCTGTAGTTTCTCCTACCTCTGTCTGGTCTCATCACTGCGTGGCTCCAGGCATCGATGCGGATGAGTCCCACACTGGCTGTGCTTTGTGTGCAGGAGCCATCTGCTGCCCGCAGCATGGACAAGGCCAATTGCATCCCTGGAACAGAAAGGGGATAGGTACAGAAAAGTCATCCAGGCCCCAAAACTGCTGCTCCCACCTCCTGATCGATCGAGCTCCATCCAGAGGGGTCCTGCCTGCTCTGCAGGCAGGCAGGAAACAGCTGCTTTGCTAAATCCCCAGCCTTGAGCCCTCCTCAGCATGAGAACAGGAACCTGCCCTGGGGCTGGGGCACTGGGGGCTTCCACCCGCTGTGCCCACTGGTACAACAACACGGACGCGAGGCCACCTCTGAATTCCTGCAGGCGTTGGGCAGGACGGGGAATGGAACAATGGCCCTAACATTTAGGACTTTGTGTTGTCTCTCAGAGTTGGAGTGGGCAGGCCAGAGTCACTCTGCTCCGGTCACCCCCTGACCTTGGGAGGCAAGGCTCTTCCTCACGCAGTTAGACCCACAAAACCTGGCTTCAGAAGTTCCTCCCTGCACAGCACCAGCTCTGTGACAAGGCCTCGGTGCCCAGCACCGCTCCTCTCCAGAGGCCTGATCCTGCCCGTGTCTGACGCAGCGGGTGTGACCCCAGAGCGAATGCCACGTTTCTGCATGCAGAGGGGCCTGGAGACCCTGCTATAGGCCTCTTGCAGGATAGCAGCTTTTCCTCTTCCTCATTATAAATAAATAAATATCACCAAGTGAATATTCCACTGCTATTTTAGAAAAGACCGGCCATCAGCCTGAGACTGCATTTCTGCTACCAGATGCCATGCAAGTGCTTCCACAAGCACCGAACACCAATTCCATCAGCACTTTTCAAGCCGTTTCTGCCCTTCTTGGTGAGGCACAAAGGCCCTGCAGTGCCTCGTCTCCTCCTTAAAAGCCCGATGACTGGCACGAAGCAGACGAGGGGCTCTGGGGAAACAGCTCGGTCCCCCAGCAGCAGGGTGGTCCTGAGAGGCTGGCTCCATGTGCAGCCCTGCCTCAGGCTGGAGCACGCAGAGCAGCAGTCGGTCTCGGCTATCACTTGAGATAGGCTCTACACTAAGCATCATCTGCCCTGAATTACTGGGGGGAGAGAGGGGGGTGTTTCTTAAAAGCCTTTTTGGCTCACGCATCAAGTTCATCCCTGCTTTTGCCAGCACATTTCCTTTATGCCCCACACATATGCGTAACCAGACTCTGATTGTCTGCAAGGGGCTGCGCTCGCTTCTGCTCCAAGCCACCCCTCGGTGACCCCTGATAAAAAAAAAAAAAAAAAAAAAAATCTCCTTCCGCCCACCACGGTGGGCTCCCAGTGTCACCCAAGGCAGAAGGGGGCAAGTGCAAGGCTGGTGTAACACTGGCTGATGCACGAGGGGGGTGAGCAGGGAAGAAAATGCTGCATTCACTCCTGGCATTGCTTTGGGTGTGTGTTTACTGTGCCTGTAACACAAGATGAGTCTTGTTTGCGTTGTGGTCTTGAGGGTTTGGCAAAGCCGAGCTCAAAGAAGTGGTTGGGAGGAGAGCCGAGAACATTAATGGATGGCTGAGCTATGACTCCAGCATCACCTTCACCTCACCAAAGACCAGTATCCTCAAAGTTGCCTCCAGGGTTTGATAACCTGATCCAGGGCATTTCTGTTGTACAGAGAGAAGAATGACTGCAATTCCCCCTGGAAGAGGGGGGAAACTGCCATTACAAGTGCTCTACCCCAAAGCTGTGCAAGGGCTCACTGCTTTGAAGCAGTGCAGTTGCTGCTCTGGTTCCCACTGCCCAGTTTCTGTGCTCACCTGAGGACTCACAGGTACAACACAGCGCTGCAGCTCCCTCTCAGCTGGATGAAGCTCAGGGCAGGGGCATCCAAAACTTCATACGTGAGGCAGGAGAGAAGCAGCAGAGCAGCAGAGCCCAGGTTTGCTGGCAGTGCCCAGTTCTCACCTTGGGTGTTGCCTTCCTGGTGCTGGCTGCTGACACGCTGCAGCCCCAGGAAGGGGGCAGAGAGCCCGAGGGAAGGTATTTTCCCAAGAGGATCCAATTTCCTCTTTCACTTCTCGTGTTCTTTCTGCTGTACCCAGGGCGTTTGCCAGCACGTCCTCTGCAAGCCCGTAGCTGTATCTCTTACGGGGAGGCACCTCAATGAGGAACCTCTGAGTAAGAGATACCTCCCTCCTCACGTTCTCCTCCCTGCTGCTCTCCCTGCCTTGTTTCAGCCTGACATAGCATGGCGGGGAGGAGTGCCAAGGGGGGGCTTTCAGCAGGACACAAAACATCACCGATTGTCCCTGTCCTGGAGACCCTCAGGGGGTGAGGGACTCCTGGAGGCCCAGCTGCACCCAGAGCAAACAGGCCCTGGGGGTAACAACAGCCATCCCACAGGCACGTTCCTCTCTGGTGTGCCCCTCTGGAGGTGACCCTGTCCCAGAGCCGTGTCACAAGGCAGGGTTAGGAAGGAAAACGCCTCCACTTTGGAGGGGACAGGGACAGATGGAAGCCAGGTGGGCACCTCACAGTGCCAGAGGAACCAGGCACATCCCAAGCGGCGTTCCCACAGCACCAGGTGAGGAAACCCCAATAAACTGGCCTGCCAAGCGCCCACTGTGCACACCCAGTACAGGGGGGCCACTTGGAAACCTCAGCTCCTGCTCCAGCCCTACATTGGGATTGAAAATAAACGGGGGAGGAAATAAAAGCCGGAGCAAGCCGAGCTGCGCCCAGGAGCACGGCCCCGCTAGGTGTCTCCCTCAGCCAAGGCACCGGGAGGCTCCCGCAGCACCACCACAGCGCCCAGGCCCGCAGCTGCACCACAGCACCTCTCAGCAGGCCAGAGGGGAGGGAGCCAAGAGGAGCGAGTGGAGAGAGAAAGAATGAGCAGGCAGGGAAGGAAACTCGTGTAGGCAGCGCTGCATGGAGAGAGGCAGGCGGCCACAGCAGCTGGCCTGGCCTGCAAGGTGCCTCCGTGAGCTCCTCGTTTTTTTGGGGGAAAGCGGCTCTGAATCAGCCTGGGAAGTCCCCTCCCTCGGGTTAAGGGGGCTTCTGGCCAAAAGCCCACTTGAGTTGTTTCCCTGTTCACCAGAAGGTCCCAAACTTTCCCCTCTGTATGTGAAGGAGCGCTCCTCCTCCTGCTCGTTACAAGATCCAAGCTGTAACCCCAAGCAGCGTGGTTCATTTCGATGCGGTGCATTTTGGTACCGCAGGGTTCAGGCACCACTTGGGAGGAAGAACGGCCTTACACTTGTCATCCCCTGCACAGCACAGCCCAGTGCTTAAACCCAGCCCAACCCCGAAACCCAAATCACAAACTCAAGCATCCACCAGGCTAAGTGATATGAAGGTTGTGGGACACCGTCCTCATCGTGGTGCCTTCAGTCCCTGCTCTGGCCCCGTGCTCCTGTAATTCATTCATCTCCCTGTGCCTCAGTGTCCCCCAGCTGCGTGTCCCCACCTCAGCAAGGGAAAGGCAAGGCCGAGAGCCCTGGGCTGCAGCAGGGCCAGGAGCGAAGCCAGCAGCAGCTCCCTGGGAGAGGTGGAAGTGCCACTGCTCAGCTCTCTGCTCCCCAGCATTAGGGGAGGCTCAGCATTTCCTCCTGCAGTCCCCAGACCCTGTCCCCACGTGGGATGGAAGCAAAACGCCAACACGAGCTCTGCAGAGGCAGCAACACAAGTCAGAAGCCATCTAAGCGCAGCTGAGCTCGTACCCAAGCAGGTAGGGGTGAAACGTTGCTAAATTGGGGTTGGGAGCTGTTAGCAGTCACACTGAGCAGCAGAAACACGAGGGTTGTATAATCCAGCAGCAGCTTGGCGGTGGCGCAGGCAGCCTGGTCCCCAGGCACACAGAAATAAGAGGGTTTGACATTTGTGTCTCATTGCACCGGTTGTCTTAGAAACTGTGAGAAAAGTAAAGAGATCGGGGACCCGAACGCGATGGCAAGGGCAACCTCTCACCCCAGGGAGCCAACACAAACAGCGGGGTCAGGGAACAGGGAGCCGGGAGGGTTTTGTGCTGCTGGGAGCCCCCCAGACACTTGTGGGGTTGAGGAAAAGCCGTGTCCCATGGAAGTGACCCCAGGCAGGGCCGCCGGGAGGTCAGCTCCTGGAGAGGCCAGTCCCAAAGGGGAACGGATGACACGTGGAAGGCGAGCCACCAGGAAACATGCCAGGTCTTTGGGAGGAATTACAGCCGATGAATCAAAGGAAAACATCCCACACGATTGTTTGGAAAACCTATGCACAATGCCTGGCTGGGCAGCCTGGCTGCTCCCCGGGCTGTGAGCTGCACAGAGCATCCTGCCCCATGCCCCTCGCGTGCTGCTCCAGGCAGTTTTACCAACACAGCAGCCTTGGGTGCTTAAAAAGCCCTCTTGGGCTCAAAGAGGATTTGACCCAGGGCACACGAAGCATTTTCTCCTGCTCTCTTTTCCTTAAAAGCTTCCAGTTTTCTCTTGACAAGGCACTAAGGCTCAGTCTTCTCAGAGACACCCCACAGGTGCCCACGCCACAATGAGCAGCCTCTGCCAGTCCTGCATTTTTGGTGAATCTCTGCCTTCTCCTGCCCCAGTCCATATATCTCACTATACTGACTGCGTCCTTCTTTACATCCATTATTCCAGGCGTTTGCTGCCTTCTGCAATTGAGCAAGGCAAGGTTTAAAGACCCCACTTTGCTTCCTTCTTGTCTGGCACATGCACAACAAACCCAGTGGGGATGGAGAGCTGCTACACAGACTTCTCAGAACATAAAAAGGGCAGACAGCACACTGAACCGTGGGGAATTCACTGCAGCAAGGGCAGGTGAGAGCAGCAAACCTCACATTGCCTAAGTAGAGCTGAAGGGGGGACAGATCTACAGATCTTTTAGGGCTTTGTCTTCTCTGGCAGGCAGCCTTCTGTGCAGCCACAGCCGCCTGCCCGCAGCAAGCACACGCTCACACTGCCAGGGAGGGAGTGTGAGTGGGTGCTACCCACTACTGCCTGTAGCTCTCCAGTACCCTCAATAATCTCCCAGCACCCCTGGTGCTGCCTACAGCTTCCTCGTGCCCCCTGGTGCAGTCCAGAGACCCCCCAGTACTCTCCAAGTGTGTCCCAGTATTGTGCTGAACCTCCCAGTACAGTCCCAGTACCACCCAGTGCTTTCTAGATCCTCCTGCGACACTCCCAGTGCCCTCCAGCGTTGTCTGGAGATGCCCAGCAGGCAGTGGGAGGATGCAGGGGGTCTCTGGACAGCACTGGGGGTCACTGGGAGTTTGCTGAGTAGCTCTAGGCAGCACTGGGAGCGTACAGGGAGGATCTGGGCAGCACTGGGGGGCACTGGGAGAGTTCTGCTACCACTGGTGTTATATCTGCATGTGCTCCTTATCATCTGTGTCACTGCCTCGCAATCGCAGCTGTGCCAGCAGGGGGACTCACTTCACATGCCACTGTCTGCTTGTTGACTTGTTTCCCGACTCGTATTCCCCAGCCTGCTGATGGGGAGACGAGCAAAAAAAAAAGAACAACCCCAAAATTACCCCCCCGCCAGTAGCCAAGCTTCCACATGGACTGCCTGCACGGCATCCTTCAAAAAACACCTCAACCCACGGGGCAGGCTTCCCACTTCACAGCTACCTGTTATTTTATGATTATTTTTGTTTTATTTTATGTTATTTTTACCTGTTTCTGTGCCCAGCAGGACCCTGACGGTGCTGCAGGACTGGGGCTCCTCAGCCCGGAGGGGCAGCTCCCCCCTCTCGCCCCCCAGGCCCAGGTCCAGCAGCTCCCAGCTCCTGTACCACTGCCTTACAGCATCACCCCAAGGGCAAGAGGAAAATGCCTTTTCTCCCCTCCAGACCTCGGGGGATGTCAAGTGAAACTACAGACAGACAGGGCAGCAGACACAGAGTTCCTGGAAAGCGCCTGCCCCAAGACACGTGTCCCAGCGGTCTGGCACAGCTGGCAGACAAACTGGGACAGAGCCAGGGCTAGGATGGCAGGGCAGGGATGGAGGTGTGCGAGGTGGAGGGGTCTGCCCACGTCTGGGAGCACAGAGCTTGTCAGAAAGCAGGAGCAAGCAATCTTTATGGGGTGTTCCCAGCAGCTGCTGCTGGACGCGGAGCAGACGAGCAAGCCACCGCCGCAGAGCACCGGAGCTGGCACCTAACCCAGCACCGTCTCTCCCGGAGCTCACAGCAGGGAATGAGAACGACCCCAGCTTGTACAAACCTGTCACCCACCGGGATCAGGAGGGGCTGTGGCAAAGGCTCGTCACCTCGTCTGACTCCAGCTGCCAGGCAGTTCGGCTGCTCCAACAGGGGCTTTGGCTTTCTCCAAGGAGCTGGGAGTCTCTCGCTCCGCACTGGTGACCTTAAAATCAAGGGCTGAAATTTGATGCCTGCTTTCAAGCAGATGAAGCTGGACAGATTCTTCCAGTCTAGGTCTGCATGGGATCTATCAGGGAGATGTGGTTCGTTCTGTATGAACAGCACAGACTTTCCCCCTACCTTGCTCACCCCAAAGAGGCCAGCATGGCACTGACGAGCTTCATCAGTCCAGCACTGAGCATCTATCAGGCCTACTCAGAGGACATGGCATCCACCCTCCCTGATTTACAGCCTCTCTTAGAGCAGCCCAGAGGACTTCAGATGGGATGCTGGAGGCAGATAATTGCCCCTCTGACCTGCCAGGTTAAGCACCCACAACAGAGGGTGGCTGTGCCTCCAAACTGAGCAATTGGCAGCTTCTGCTCGAAAGAAATTCAGAGCAGCCCCCACGGGACGTGGCAGTGAGCTGCAGTTTGGTTGTCTCCCTACCAGAAGGGCTCACATTTTAGTCAGCGAGAAGCAAATAACTGCAGGACTGGTAAATCCACCTTGGGACCAGCCATCCGGGACGAATTCTTTCTGTGGCACGTCAGCACCGCAAGGCCTTGCCTCAGCAGAGCTCTCGTGTGATCCTCAGGGTCTCTTTGTGCGAACACAGCTGGCTACAGACACGGCAGGCAGGGCAGGAGACATTTTGTGGCACCACGAGCAGACAGGCAGCAACCTTCAGAGGGAGGTGGGATGCCCACCGCAGCGCCGCTCCTCCGAGCAGCAGTGTCCTGGCCTGGGGTTCATTGGCACAGGTAAAATCTTTCACATCTGCTGCACTTACAGTAAGAGGGATGACAGCTTCGTTACGAATGCACAGAGCTTCCAAAGAAGAACAGCATGGAGGGTTGCCTTGGAGACTGCAGTAAGCAATGTGCTGCCAGATGACTGGGTCTCATACCACAGCAGGCACTTGCCAGAAGGGTGATCTCAGCGGTGCGCGCTGCATTATCAAACATTCCTTGAAGGAAAGACTGAATCTGTGCAAGGATCGGGTGAATCAGGCTGCAGGGAAGGTGGTTCTTTATGTTACCCATTAGTCATGTTCCTTGGCTTTGCCCACCCGCAGCAAGCACCACGGCCGTGGCGCTCAGCGGAGCGGAGAAACCTCCTCACGGTGCACACCGAGGCTGGTGGGGCTGCCAGGGGACACAGACACACCAAGTGCCCTCCATCCCCCTGGCAGAGACACGAACACAGGGCTGTTCCCCACGTCTGGTCAAAGAAGAAAGGTTGAGAACCCTTTTACTCATTTTGGATAAAGCATAAAACAGCCTCCTGGGGAACCCCAGACAAAATAAATACCAAGCTGCCCATCACGTTGTGTTACACCACCACAGACCTCTCAACTGCTACCAGCTTTCTGCCCTAAACATTTCTGCAGTTATCTGAGCTGGGGACCATTAGATTTGCATCTAGTTTTGTCCCCTGCATAACCACACTTTAAATATTTATTCCCTTCTTCTTGTGCTGGCTCCCCTCTGACAGCGTCTCCAAGGCCTGATCCCGCTCATCCTTCATGGAAGATGGCTTTATCCCATCGTGACCAATCCAGTTAGCAGACGATATTTTAAGAACTACTTCAGCATTAGAGTCAAGCTACTGGTTACACAGCATTGGCAGCACAGACAGGATAAGCAAAGAAAGCAATCCATGGGAAAATCTCCAGCTTGTTAAGAAAAAACAAGCTTCTCGAAGAAGTGTTAGGCACAAGCAAAGCCCCAAAATAAAGAACAGCCACTACTGCACGTTCAGGTTGTCATTTAGTTCAACATTTCAGGGGTAATTTTACCAGTTTTCACCAGCTACAGGTATGCTTACATGCTGTAGAAGAAAACCTTCCATGAACCTCTAAATCCTGTAAGAACCACAGGTCTTGGGACTCGTACTACTTACACCATCAATGTCTTTGAGACAAGTGTCACCATCGCAGCACCATCATATTCTCCTTTCCAGCACCATAACATTCTCCTTTCCAAATATCCTTTTTCCAAATATCCAAATTTCTCCTTTTTGCTTAGGACAAGCATCAAAGCCACCCAGAAAGAGTTAACCAGTGCTCATATAACCTAATGAGCATTAGCCCACCGTAGCTTTTTGCTGGCCACTCTGTGGGGCTGGAATCAGGGAGAGGAACAGATCAGGTGGAGCATTAGGAAAACAGCTCTCATGGCAAGAAAACTGCCAGGCCTCCCAAGGGAAGCGATGAAAACCCTGCTGCTTGAGTCACTTCAAACTGGACCAAGTACAGGAAAATCCAGTGTAGGGAACAAGCCTTCCCCATAGGGGGAAAATGGAGAAGTTGGATGACCTCGGATCTTTCCCATCTCCGGTTTATGTGGTTCCAGAAATCTGCAGAGGCGATAGCTTACACCACACACAACAGGTAAGTCAGATGATCTATTGTTGCTACCAGACCTGCTGCGGAGTGAGCCAGCCTGATCAACGCAGCTCATACAAAGGTTTGGGGCTCTGGACTGCCAGGACCACACTCAGCTTGAGGTGAGGTGCTAATGGGAGCAGAAACGTCAGCATCCAGAGGAAAACCCACACCCTGTGCAACAGCCAGGGCACGGCAGCTGCCTTGATGGGTTTTAATCTCAACTGCTTGAGTCGCCGAGATTAAACATTTAAGGCAGACGTTATCTGAGAAAGGAATTTACACGTCGCATAGGGGAAGTGTCGCTTTTAAGCCTTTTCAGACAAGTTCTTCTAGTCCCTCTCTATGTCCACAGCCTCAGCAAAACAAAGTCAAGGAAATATCCCCAGTAACACCGAGCAGGATACTGCTGGCTTTGTCATCTAAAAGCCACATGCTGCAGAAACAGTTACCTATTACTAGCTGGAGTGAGGGAGAAAATTCCACTGGGAAAAGCTCGTTCCTTGATTATCGTCATCCCTTCACACTGTAGAGACAACTGCTGCTAATGCCTGGAAGAGACAGATCATTAGTTTCGTAGCAAACCCCGGCAAGGACAAGATAACTCGAACACACAGTTCATCCATCAGAGACCTGCAGTGGCCACTGCACTCCCCAGTCTGCTAGCAGATCAGCTCACAAAGAGGAATCAGCCCTCGGAGTCTGCCTGGATCCCCGCGAGGCAGCAGCTGCCCATGCAGGGACACTTGCCCCTGCCAGCGACTTGGCAGGGCAGCGAGGAGGTCTATTACTATTGCTATGCTAGCAGAGAGCCAGCCTGCTTGTTGAAACATGGTATTTGCAGGATGATGAATTCTGATTTCAAGATAATTTATAGCCTCGGTAAATAAACAGGCTTATGGCTGTTTAAACACTGTTTAAACAGTCATATACAACAGCCCTGGGCAAGCATGCTGAAGAACAGAAGAGCTGTCTGAGCTGGGAACAGATAGCAGAAGAAAGCAAGTACAAAATACTTCCCATCAGAAATGAAATGCTTCCTCTCTCAAAAACAAAACAACCCCCAACACAGCTCTCATTCACCCTTCTCCCCCTGTCCGTGCCAGAAATTCAAAACATCTTTAGCGTGACACGGTGTCGGGTCACCATCCACCAGGTGCCTTTTACACTGCTTGATGCGACTGGCTGTACCTGAGCTCACACCGATTTCACCCCACCTGTTTGGGCAACTGTATGCAGTAAAAATTGTACTTACAACATTTTTTTTTCTTTTTAGATGGGATTGACAGGACTAGAAACCCTGGCAACTGTTTCAGACAGCAAATTAAGACACCTTTGAAAGCAGGGCCTTGGGGATCTGCTTTCTGCTCTGTTACCGGAGGTGTTTCAGAGTCAAGGACGTCTTTGCTCCTTCCCTGCCCTTCTGTTTTAAATGTATTCTTACAGGGAAGCTGCAGTAACCTGCTGCTCCAAGAACAAAAGAAATCATTAGGGGCTGGAGACACCAACCTGGGAGAAAGCAGCTAAAAGGTAAACGACAGGAAACAGCCCGGGGTTACTGAAACGCACTAATCCTCTTTTCAGTGGAATTATTCTGGACAATGTAAGGGGCTGGATATTCCCTAATAGTCATGGGATGAGAGGAAAAGGAAAGTTTCAGCTGCCTACCAAGGATTGCTCCCAGGAGGAAGGCTCAGATGAATCTCTTCTTCCAGGGAAGGGACAGAACGTTCTCCCTGCAGCCAGCTTATCGCCCCACTGCAGGACGCGGGGGGATATAGGGACAGCCCTGCCAAGAGCACGGAGGAGATGAACTCATTGCCTCCCCCATCTGCATGTTCCTATAGATCAAGCCACTTGGAATATTTATCCCATATTCTGGTCATGCCTATGGGTCTGCTTGGCTTGCTGCCCTGAAGAAATTACAGGCAAGGAAAGGGAAATTGATGAACACAACCTAGCCACTGCGTGGGGCCAGAAACCTTGCCAGTCTTGGATAGCGAATTCCCACTCTGAGCGAGGCTGTTACGTGCTCAGAGCAAGGTGCTTAGAGCAGGGTGCCCCAGAATTTGCTGGTGGGCTTGCTGGCACCTCAGCCAGGTACGGGGTCAGCCCAGCAGGCAGAAGCTGGTGCCTTCACACCACAGCTGAAGCAGAGCACGAGGTAGAGCCAACGGGGCCACCAGAGCCAGCAGTGAGCGAGGAGACAGCCTTGTTCGTACAGGAGCCGAATAGCCTCTGACATCAGGGTAGCTGTGTCTCTTGGACAGGAGACAGCTCCTAAAGCAGCCTGCTGTTTCCTTGTCAAATAGCCTCAGGCAATCCTCCTAGCACCCTCCATTTCCCTCTCTGACACGGAACATGACTTTGTAAGGGGAAAACACGCAGGACCTTACTACCGTGGCAGATGACCTCATACAGACACGAAGAAGGTTTCACCCCAGCAGATTTATTTCACAGGCAGTGCAGCCTGCCCGCACTCACCTGAGGGAGCAGAGCAGAGCTCCCAGGAGCCCAAAGTGTGGGTCCCTCTCCAGTTACTGCATTTCACTCAAGGCAAACAGCTCATGCTGTGAAGGCTGCCAGGACTGCCAAGCCCTTCCCTGGCCCAGCAGGAACAGTTCTCCTGTAGGTGGAAGGAAAGCAAAGCCCAGATTCAAGGGCTGAGTGCTGGCCTGGCCCAGGAGGTTGGCATCGGAGTCCAAAAGTGTGTATGTGGAGCTGAATTGCCACTAAACTCAGAGGAGCTTGAGATACAGCCTGTGTCATGTCTCTACATGCACTTTGCCTATTCTGAGCCAACTGGAAGTCCTGTGCCTGCGTTAACTCGGTGCCAAATTAGCACTAAAGGATCCTGCCTCTTAGCTGAGTTCACTGCTGCTACAGGGTGCCAGTTCAGACCTGGTTCACGTCCAGAAGTCTCTGAACACAAGCAAAATGAACATGCAACTACCTGCAAAATACCAGAGGCACTCAGACAGAAACAGGCCAGGTTCAGAGTGAAGTCAGGAGCTCCAGGGACACCACCTCAGCTTCCCAGAGGTCAATTCCTCAGTGCCCTGGAGCACCCTGCTGAGTGTGGTGAACCACAGTGGTCAGGTGGCAGCAAGTTGCCTAACGTCATAGGACACAGAAAGAAAAAAATAAAATAAAAAAAATAAGGTCATGTTTGCTAAGGCTTCATTCATCTCACATCTGACCCAGAACACAATTAGAACAGCTAGGGTGTCTAACACCCAGCTAGACACTAGTCGGTGCCATATGAAACACCCAGAGAGCTCTCTATCTTTGTCTCTTCTTTCTCAGGAATTGAATCTTCTCGATTCATTGTCTCTTCTTTCTCAGAACTTCACAGAGAGGTTAGAGTATTTCCCAAACCTTTCCACCAGATGCAGTTTTGCTCACAGGCGTAGGTGTTACTGAGAATCGCTGCTGCTGGGAAGAATTGTTCAGCAAACACACTTTGAACAGGATCCATATAGAAGAGGTTTGTATTTCCTGAATGGAAACGAAACCCCTTTATATAGGCTGGATTGGAGATTCAATGGCCAGAGTGTTCCCTTCAGACCTTATTTTCTTTGGAGCTTGAGTTTACCCCACATGAGACATCTGGCACAGGACTTACAGGATACAGTTTGCTTTGGCACTGGCTGGGTTTGGAGCTCACAATGTTTAAATAGGATTTTATGAATTGAACAGTCTCACTCTCTTCTGTAATGCTTCAAATTAAGGTTTCCACATATGCCTTTAATAGAGATTCACTAAGACACTTATTGCATGTTAAATAAACATCACTCAGTGAAATAGAACACCCTCATTGAGGATTAACAAACATACAATTCAGTCAGGCTGCTGCAGCTGTTAAACCTCAAATACAACTTCAATGTCATAATCAGTCATTTTATTAAGATAATAATTGCCTTGTTAATGCTAATTAAATGACTAATGCCTTCACAGTCCCGTGACGCTGTGCTCTGATAACCCCTCAAGTAGACACGGAAGTCCATTCCCTCCCCAGCTCCAGAAAGGCTCAGGTTGGGAGTGAGGAGTTGCTGCTCACCGCCTGCTAACCCAAACAAGCTTCCAGACAGAAGTTAGAGAAGCACGATCTGGTTGTTTGGAGAATGAGGGGGGTGCAAAAAAAAAAAAGAAAAAAAAAATGAACATTTGAGTTTTGTGCCTGAGAGGAGATGATCAAGTTAGTCAATCCAAACGGCGAGAGACCAGAGCTTGTTTTTATCCAGGTAAGCAGGGCAGAGGAATAAATACGAGCTGACATCACCAGACATAGTGCTAGCAAAGCAGAAAGGGGTTGCTGCCTAACCACAAGGCCTACAGAAATGCACATGTCACGCCAGGAACACCTCACTGGGACTTTGCTCATAGAGCTGGGGAAACCCAGGCAACCTGCAAGCCCGACGCTCTGCTCAGAAGCTCTCAGGCCGCCCAGCAGCTCGACGGGGAACGGAGGATGCCAATTTGCAGCCTGCACCTCCCAGCGTGACATTGCAAGCCGAGCTCTTTCCCCAGGAGTGTCCCAGGCGGCGCAGGCTCCCAGCTCTGTGCTCAGAACATCAGACACAGCTGTTCAGCCCCCACAGTCTGGGCACTTGTGCAGAAGTCAGGCCCAGACTCCACTGCCCGGCTGCTCGGGCTGACCATCCATCATGAGGTGGACCAGATGTTCCAGCACGGGCTACGAAGGGGCTTAGCAGCAGCCTTGGAGCCTGCAGCCAAAGCGATGTTGTAACACTTGGCTGGCTACGCAGAGAGATTCCCCTGCCCCTCGTTCCCAGGTTTTGGTAATGGTTATTACTTTAAACGTTTAAAATAAAGAAAGCAAAAGTGGATTCCTTGCATCCTCGTCATTTTAATTAGAAGAATATCTTCCATAAATGGTAAATATAATTGACCTCATCTCAAAAAAGGCAGGGAGGAGCAAGTTACCGCTTGCCATGTGATAGTAACATTAACTGTAGCTCAGGGATTCAACCTATTAGCACAGGCAGGCTCCCATTTGTTAGACTATAAAATAGCACATTGCCAAGCCCTATAATGGACTGCAGATTTAGATATTGATTAATTGTTAAAATATCTCCGAAATGTACTATGTTAAAGGGGAAATGACCTCATGTTTCCTTTGAGACCCCTCACCTTCCTCCTACTTCAAGAATTTCTCCAGCTTGGCCTGCTGCTATCCTTGCCATTCCCTTGCTGCCTGGGACTCCAGCACGACTCACACGAGTCCTTTTTTACTCAGTTCTCAAAAGGAATGCTAACCAAGTCCAGCTCAAAAAAAAGAAAGAAAGAAAAAAAAAAAAAAAAAAAGACAGACTCCTTTTTAACCTGCTCACCTTTCACTCAAGCTTCTTCTGGCATTCAGGGAAAAAAAAAAAGTCACATTCAAACCAAAAGGCCTGCAAAGACAGACCTCCGTGGTTCAGGTCACTTCATAACTAGACGTGCTGTGGTTTGAATACAGAAAAGAAGAATAAGAGAGATGCCGACTGTGCTGAGTTCCTGACCCCGTGCATGGGGTCCAGGGAACTGAGACCCCCCAGGCCCATGCAGACACCTGATGTCTCTGTCCAGATTGCAAGCACAGGGCTGCACCCCTAAGAATGCCCAGAGCTTAATTTTTATTTCATTTACTTCTTCCTTATTAATTAAAAAAAAAATAAAGCAAGAACATAAGAACACCCTTGAGATACACAAGCACAAAGCAGTGTCACACGAGTGTGCCAAAGCAGGCGAATCTGAAATTCAAGGTGCTTGGATCAGTGTCACCTCACCAGGAGAGAGATGCTGAATCCTGCTCCAAGCCCGAGGCTCCAGAGAAGACATTTGGCAAGACCAGGAAGGGGAGGCTGGTAACCATGACAACTGATCCTTTCTTGGTATCAGACAACAGAAATGACTCCTGAAGCACAGGCCCCATGACCACCACCACCATTTCCCTCTCGGGACAGCTCTCCGTCAGTCATGCCACGGGCAGAAAGACACTGGCACGTAACACAGCTTCACAGCCTCCAGAAGACCTCCCCTTAATTCAGAGCCCCCCGATCACCACACCTCCCTCAGCACACTCATCTTACTTCTGGGTCGCAGTTTTCCCCATTTCAAAACTAACAGGGGTGGATCCTGGGCTGTGACCTCCGTACACTTTGCTCTCAAAGGAAAAGGACAACAAATGGAAAAAGCCACATGAAAACAGTGTGGGTGCTGAGAAAGAGGTAAAGCTTCAGGAAATCCACCATTTTGTGGCACAATTTCATCCATCCAGAACAGCAGAAGCAATTCTGAAATGTGCAACTTAATTCTCATTGTTATTCACCGTACACGTCAGGTAAGCAGCTTTCGTCTCCACTGGGCAACCACATCACTGATTTTTATGATCTGTGCACAGCACACAAGATTAGGAATAAAATTAAAACTATTCAGATCTCAGCACTTCTGCGATCATGGCACAGGCAAGAGGCACAGAACAAAGCAGCACCCTCCCAAGCCACTTCTCAGGCATCTTAAACAGCTCACACAGAAGTAGCTTCTTCCCCCTACCTTTCACGGCGCCTTCCCAGCACTTAAAGCACCTCTTGATCGTGTTGTCTTCCCAGCATGTTCACCTGGCTACAAAACAGAGAGCTGCTCCAATAACAGCTTCAGTGCTGCAGGACAGAAATATGTTGTTATTTTCTCTCTCCATTTTGGCTAGAGAAAAGGGTTTTTAGGTGCCTGGCCACCCAGGAAAGGGCTCTAGCAACTGGTTGAGCTAGAAATGGAAACTAAGGAGCTGGTGGGGGATTGAATCTTGCATTGGCGCTGCAGCTTTCTTGGAACTTTGTCCCATCTCAGGATTTTTCTAGATTAACTTCACTTTATTAAAGTGAAGGGTTTTTCAAAAGCTACAACACAGGCACCTTGCCTCTCCCAGCAGCATCCCGTAGCTCTCCCTTGCTCTCCAGAGTGCAATGGGATAGACACACAGTCACTGTGCAGCTGTACCCCCAACCACAGTTCAAACAACACTGATACATCAGCATTAGGCTCTAAAACTCACTTTCCACTTTGGCTTTCCTGCATGCTCCCAAGCACAGGATCCCAAAAGCAACTGTTTGGTCTCTGGGATCTGACACTGAACAGTTTCAGCCAGGGCCTCCCATGTTCATCTACAAAAACATATTCCTACCTACCTTCAGATTTCCACTTTTTCCTCCCCATAATTCCTCAGTACCCCAGGAAGGGATATGGATGCTCACCAGGCAGAAGGAGGGCCCTGAGGAGCAGCATTTCAATCCAGCCAGGTGCTCCCACTTGGCCTAACACAGTTTTGGGTAGAGCTGCACCTGGCCCCAAACCAAGCCTGGCCTGATACAAACCTGCCTTATCCCCACCGCGGATACTCACCCACCAATGTCCCCAAATAGCCAGCATGCTGCCTAAGCAGCTTTTCCCCAAAAAACTGCCCCGTGGGGCAGGGCTGAGCACCTGCTCGTCTGTGTGTTCCTGCAAGGCACCCTGTGCAATCCACACAGACCAAAGAGAAACTCCGTGCCGTAAAGAGAGCCAGGACTGTTTCAGATGTCAGTGCCTACAGCTGCTGTGTTGATTTTGAGGGAACAAATGTGCCTAGTGAAGCAGAGAGGTTAACATAACCCTGTCACTGCTCAATGCTACAAAAAGCATTAAGGTTCAAGGAGTGAGCACAGAGATCTGCGGTGAGCACACAAAAACCTTATTTGGAAATGTACTGATTTAAACACACAAAAGAATAAGAATGGAAACCAAATGTACAGAATTTCAAAACTGACATCAAACAAGCTCCGCAGGACGAACTTTTAATTAAACTATATCAAAGGCCCCTTCTTCAGAAAAAGCACGGGGCCTTAAAGCTGTCCTCTTCTTTAAAAGATTTTGTAAAGGAATTCCTCACATGGAGGTGAACATTTCTGGGGGACTGAGCTTTGGGCTGGGGAGGACAGGTACCCTGCGTTGGGCAAGACCAGCAGAAAGGAAGAAGAAGACAACAGTGAGGTGAGGAAACGTGGCTTCCAAGAGAGCTCTCCAGAAGGCAGCGGCTAGTGAGTCACAGTCTCACTTCATCAGATGTTGTCTGGACCACTTCTGGCCCGGGACATCATCTGGCTGATCCAGTTAAACGTCTTTATTTTACCACTAAGCACACACCACTCGAACAGCAGCAGAGGAGATTGGGAGGAGAGCTCAGGGAAGCATTATGGATAGAAGAATCAAAGGCAGGCACCTGGTCTGCTTCAACCTGGGCACTGAGGTCTTGTAGGGGCTTCTGTCTGGGAAGCAAATGCACACGTGTAGGTTGGGAAATGGGGAGGGAGGAGGGAGAAGATATGGCAGGAACAGGAAAGTGGAAAGGCAATAAGGGATTACACTTTTTTTGTTTTATTTTGAGCCCGTGACTGCAAGCTATTCTTCCCTTCCTTCAGAAAGACTTCTTGCCCAGCTTTGCCAAGTGCTTTGCAATTCACAGGGAAGAAGGTGCTATGTGAACACGGGATCTGAACACTGCTTGGGAGCCTTTCACTTGCTGAAAAAACAACATGGAAAATAAAATTTTAAAGGAACTCACAAACAGAAAAAAAATCAGGAAAAATCTCTGCTGGACCAAATTAGGGAATGAATTCCCCTAATTACCACAAGATGCTCCCCAAGTCTGACAGTATCTCTTGGAGCAGATGTGTGCAAATAATATTTCCTCAGCCTCCAGCCTGCGTGGGCAGATTCCAGCACCAGCCACTAATGTTAAAAAATACCTAATGAGCATCGACATTAAAAAACTGCCTTGGCTTTTGGTGTCTGCATTTTTCCCATCCTCCAGGCCAAGCTGCAAACATTTTGTTGGTATTATTCACATCAGAAAGTGCTTGATTACAAAAACCAAACCACTAAAGTCTGGATCCATGAGAGCAATTGCTAGAAAGGAAGGACTGCAGTCCTTGAAGCTCTTATATAGAAAGAGTAAGAGCAAAGGGGCAAGTCTTGGCTTTTTCTAGCAGCAGCAGCAGCAAACTGTATCTGCCTTGCTGGGAAGTCCCTGCAGATCTTATTTAGAGCTGAAGAATTATACACACACAGATCCCAAGCAGGTTTCTCTCCCTAATTTCCCATGTGATTAGCTGTACCGGAAAGGCTGCACAGCAGTGGGGTGTCTTGGAGTGATATCTTTGCTGAACAACAGCAAGTTTGCAGCTGCAGAAAAGCATCAGATAAAATTGTGCCAAGTTTTTCTCCATTGTGCTTCTCTTGCTGCTGGGAGCTACAGCTAACTGAGGAGGAAGCAACAAAACTCTTGCAGGTTCTTTTGATCTTTGCCCTTTGTGGTGCATTGACAAGCAAAGTAAAGAACTGGGCTCTGCCAGAACAGATATGGCATGGGTAGAGAAGGTGGGAAATGTTGCTTTGGTCACAGTTCTAGTAAGGGCTTTCACAGAGAGACTTGATGTATACACATCATCAGAAAAAAATAAATAAAGGTACAGGTTTTTTCTTTTTGAGCCAGTACATCTAAATTGGCACTGATCCATATTTAGGGTATTGGAGGGTACTAAAGGCAGAGGGAACTTTTAAACAGAATTTTCCCCCACATTCCAAGATGAGGAAAGAGGGGGAAAACTCTTCCCTGGAGAGCTGGATAAATGTGATCATACCATCGAGGTACTCAGAGAGGCTCTTTCTTGCTCACATACCTGTGGAGCAAAACTTGGGGGCAGACGTACTCCTCCATAAGAGGAAGAGAAATATTCTCATTTTTGAAATGAGTACAGAGAAGGATGAAGTGACTGGCCCAGGGTCTCAGAGATTTTGTATCAGACAAGAATAAATGTTCTGAATTCTGCCATCCTTTGCCTCCCCTCTGCCACTGGTGCTATGTAGCTGCTCTACTAATGTTCAAGTGGAGATCATTACAGTAGCTTGTAAAGAACCGCTTCCTAAGTATCACTTTTCTACCTCCTTCTCCCTCTCCCTTGTTCAGAGCAAGCTCTCCCTCTCTCTGCTCAGGAATCCACCCTTTAGGTCAGAAAGCAACTGTTTTAATTAGACAATGATTGCTTTAAACAGAAAAAAATGCTCTGGAATGAGGGCACTGAGAAAATTTCCCTTAGCCTGTGGTAGCCACTTGACCTGTTATCAGAGTGATGCTGTGCACGGCCTTTGCAGGGCTGCATGAGGACAGATGAGATTGCTTCTTGGAAGAGCGAGAAATTAAGAAATGTTACTTGAAACCTTGCCAGTTAATCCTTCAGAGGGTGAAGGACTGGCCCCTTCAGCACTACACTGACAGCAGGTATCTTTCCTGCTTGTTTGGAGCTCAGTTTCAAAATCCAAGTTCTCATCCTCCTCGCAGCCCCCGTCTCTACCCCCACTCTCCATCCTCATTTCTGAATGAGCTCCAAGGTTGATTTCCTGCATGTTTGAATAGGACCAGCTTGACACAGCCTGCCTTGGGATGAAATCACCAACTTGGCTTGCCTTCTGTCTGAAAAACAAATCCTTCTGCAGGGCTTTCATCTAGAAAAAGGACAAGGATTCTGAAACGCAGGCAGGCCTCTGCCAAGTTCCTGTGAACTGGTGCCTGAGTAAAGCTTATGTTTGCTGTGTATTTATCTTAGCTATAATAAAGGTTACCTAGCTGAGATTTTACACTACAAAATAAAAATGAACCTCTTCCTGTTTACCCCGCTAGTAGCTCAAAATAAAGAAACAAAGATACAGGTAAGCGAGATATGGAGAGCTTACAGAAAGTGGATGTTTCCAAGGAATGGGGAACCATGCATGTGGAAATCCCACACCATGTGAGCAAAGACCAGGGCGAGCTCAGAGAAAGGAAAGCCAGGGCACCAGCCTCAAACAACAGGGGTTCTAATATAATTGCCTTTTTTCCTTTGAGTTCTTCCATGACCAAATCTTTAAAAGTACCTGATGGGAATAACATCCTTCGGGATCTCTGGGCTTCAGCTTTCCCATTAACTCTACAGAAAATGGTGAAGATGATGCTAATTTATGGGGGTCTAGGAGCTCATGCAAGCAGTATCATGCAATAGCTGGACAGTTAATGGATATAAGGCATGAACAGAGAGTGAGGGAATGGAGAGCAGCCAACCTGGGGCAAGTTCCCAGTCTGGCAGTAGGTGGTATGATGTGTGCTGGGGGCTGCTGAGGGCTGTGGTTCCTGCACTGGTTCTGGGACATGGTTGCTTCCAGGACAGTCCCCAAATCTGACAAGCAATTGATGGACTGCGAAACATTGGAGCAGAGAAGTACAGTAGGAGCTGTGGGTTCAGCGATGAGTTTGTTATACCAGGGTACCTGCTTTCCAGAGGGCATGGGAGATGAAGGACTAAGTTGTCCCAGCACAGCCTACCTTGATGAAGGCACATAAAGGCCGTCTGGAATGGGTCCCAGTGCCACGACAAGGTGACGTGACTGAAGAGCAGCTGGTTGATGAGATGGGGAAAAAGAAGAGTGGGACAGACTGAGGGAGGGAGGGAGGAACATTTCCTCCAAGCTCCACTGATGCTTTAACAGTATAGCAACATCCTTCTAGATTTGTGGCTATACCATACACATTTCTGAGTGTTACTTTGAGGGTGACAGAAGAAACAGGTCTTTAAAAAAATAAATAAATAAACAACAGCCTATATCACCATAAAATTGCTAAGCAAAGGCCTGTTTACTCTGTGGTCTGGGCTCAGCACAAAGGGCAGGCAATACACCTGCCATGGTGTTATTCTTAGGAATTTTCTCAAGCAAGCTCATCAGCCCAACCTTCCCCAGTTTAGCCATAGCTGAACCACAAAATGTGGCACTACAACTGTACTAGGTTGTGAAGGTGTTTACTGGGCACATGCAAGCAGCTACAGGCGAGGCTAGGTTACATATCTGCTCTGCAGGAGGTTGCACTAATGCTTGCTAACACTTCTTCTCGTTGGAGAGCTAGGGTCTGAGAGCCACCATATGGTTATCATTGGTACCGGAGGAGCATGTGGCCAGGACATGTGTAACTCACATTTTCCTCTGGACCACACTCAGCCTGCACTTGTTTATTGTGGGGGTGGGACTGGAAAAATCATTGACTCACCATCAGGAACAAAACATTTAAAACCTTGAGCTGAAAATGACTCTTTTTTAACCAAGCTTTTCTGCTGGTGCACAGGAAAGAGAAGAAGTACTGAGTGGGAAAGTCTGTGGGCTGTACAAGCAGGAAGGGACATGGCACTGCTCTGGCCAGTGTCAGGTTTCTACTCCAGAATTGCTCTAATCTATACCTGGTTGAGCCCACACAGAAAAATAAAGAGCCACGGTATCTCTGTTCCTCAAGCCATGTGTTTTAGATATCATTGCACTTTGAAATGTTTCCATTCCAAAACGATCTGACCATGTATCTCAACCTGCCCACCCATCAGCTAGGATATAATGATGTGGACAGACTCTACAACTGGCCCATACTGTTCTGAAATGCAACGTGATGGGAGGGGGGGTTGTTTAAAGGTTTAATGTGGAATTCCGTGCATTGCAGGTACAATACCCAGCTCTGCTGAGCATTTACTGGCAACTTTGTGAAGTCATTTTGCAGCTTTGTCCCCAAGCTTACCTGTGTTACTGGATCAAAGTTTGCAAAGCATGTGTGGTTCTAACAGTGTTTTTATGATCTACAACAGAAGAAAACAAACCTGTAGAAAAATCATAGACATAAAATGGCTGTGAGCAGAAAGTCCTCACATTTGTGCAGTGCTACCCTCTGCCCCATCCCACAGCTGAATTCAGCAGCTGCACTTGGGTCTGCTTCAGTGAGGCTAGCTGAAAAACTCCTCTACTCACAAAGATCCTGCAGATCTAAGGAGGCTGTGCTGGGTCTAAGATCTGAGCCAGGCTTAAGCCTGGGTTCTGCTGCGTCCAGTTCCATTTGCCACGATGTGTTCTGCCAAGCTTGCCTGAGCACAGGAGAAGCTTCCAGTTCCAATTCTCAGCTCTGTTCTCTTGCCTCTTTCCATTCTTCCTCTCTCATTCTGCTGCCGGAAAACACAAGAACAATGGAGATTAGCCAGATCTCAGAGGCCTTTCAAGTGTTTTCCAAAAAGCACGAAACCTCTGCCTCTGTTCCTTGCTGACGTCACGCAAAGCCAGCTCTCCCCCACCCCACGCTCTCCCAGACATCTGAGAACAGTGAGTGCCTCACATAACTGAAGGGGGTTCCTAGCCTCAAATCTTACAAACAATAAGGCAACTGAACATCTGGAAGGAACAGATGCTTCTCAGATCCCTGGAGAGCGTGTTTCAATGTGCACTTTATACCACCCAGGGCTGCCTGCCCATGGAGAGGGGGAAGATGGGTTCCTTGGCAGAACAGGCACCCATCAGCCATGAATCAGAGCTGTTGGTTCTCTAGCACGTGGGCGTGTTGGTGGCTCACTGCAAAGAACAGCTACAGATTGAACTGCACTGCTCACCTGATGACCCTAAAATGCACAGCAAAGACAGGCAGATCGTCACAGCATATTTGGATCAGGCAGATTCAGGAATAACTAGGAGGAAGCTGCTGGCTGAAGATCGTGCAGACAGGCACGTACAGAATCAGTGGGCCAGATCCAACGGCCCCGTAACCCTACTCTTCAGAAATTATTCACTCAACTCACAGTAGGGTTCACAGGAGAATGGGTTTGCTTGGTTCAGTCTGTGAATTCTTCAATCAGAATGAATAACACAGGTCTGCAGGTGAAAAACAGAGATTAAACACTGGATTCGACACCAACACCACTACTGGGGCAGGAGCCTCTTGTCTCCTTTTGCAGACCAAGCACAGACAGGAACAAAATACACCTGTCCTTTAGCCACGATAACCGAGTGCCCTTCTCAGATCTCCTATTTTCTCTGCCTAGCACCCAAAGGAGCAGGAGGCGAGCAGCAGCACAGCCCAGCCTCAGCTGCCAAGGTTCTGCGGGAAGGACACTTTGAAGACTGGCCCCGTGCTATTTTTGCAGCCCGGCCCTGTGTATCTGTTTTTCCAAGTGCCAGATAAACTTCAGTCAGACCCTCTGCGCTCTCACCTTTGGAAACGAATGAGTGAGATCATCCCTGCTGGGTGAGAAGGGGAAGCCCCGTGCTCAGCAAGTCCCACCTACAGGCAACAGGGAAAGCAGGAGAGAACATGGCCAGTGCCACAGCCTAGTCTGTACTCAGCTAAGGCGAGCCCCAGAACTCCAAATTCATGGAAGTTTACAGTGCAAATCCACAAGGCATTAATCCAGTTCAGTCACTTCCAACACAGTCACTAAGCTGCCAAGCAGCAGCATAGGGAGTTACATAGAAATAATCTCAGCCCCAGCTTCTTGTGGCATCATAAATTGCCTGTGTCGTCAGTCAGCAGAAACCTGAGATGAAATTCTTTCCTTTGCAGTTAATTATTTCCAAGTCTTTGCAGCCTTTGCAGAGCTGGTGAAAGGTGCCGAATTGACAGCCCTGAAGAAATAGGCTTTCCATTTGTCCACGGAGGTAGGGCAAAGTGAGCGAACAGCGAGGACTTCAGCCTGCTCTGCCAATGTGCTGCAAAGCTTCTGCTCAAGTTGGACTACTCTTACTCCTACCGGTCCATGCTGAGCAGCTCTGTTGCACGCCCTGGAAAAACCACGGCCTCAAACTTATGTAGCGTATTCACAGGGCCAAACCCAACGTGAATTTTACCCCATGTGCCTGGCAGCCCTCTAAGCCTCCTCCAGGCCCGCTGCTGACGTTTATCATGGCCAGGTGCAAATCTTCTTGCACTGGCCTAGAGCCACGAGACAAGCATGTTTTTAAGAATTTCACCCTCCTACCAGACAGTGTTTTTCAATATTTTGCATTAAATCTTCTGCTGTATTTGATTAGCCTGCAGCAGCTGTTTTCCACTCTCACAACAAATCATAAATCTATAAGCTTATGTGTGAGAGACTGTCTGTGCCTGAGAATGCATGTGTCTGAGAAACCGTGTGGCTGCACAGCTGCGTATGAGCCCGTACCTGAATGTAGACTTGAGAGAGATAGGGCAAGTCAATGAACCCTCATACATAAACAAGTTTGAACCCATGTTGCAGGCCATATGGTAAGGCAGGATGGCTCGTGTGTGCTAACGTGTAAGAATTCCCACTTGGATAATGCAGACAAATTTGTGTAATTCTGAGAACATGAGAATCCATGTTAATAGATATTTGACTGCACTGATGTGAGTTCATACATGTGCATATGCTTCTGTGAAGGAGAGTTTTAACATGAGCATGTACAATACAGGAGCATGGGAATATCAGAGCACAGGTAAAAGTGTCGTGAAGCCCTGGAGATGCACCCACTACCATGCCCAAAAACACTGAGTCCATGTGCAGTCGTGTTTGTGACTGTGTGTACTCAGTCAAGAACTGCTTGTTGTGAGGCCAAGATCCCCTGTCCCATGGCCAACTCAGATAAGGAGTGCAAATGGCTGAAAGAGGAGGGAGGGGAAACTGCTACATACATTAAAAAAAAAAAAAAAGCGTTATTCAAAGACTATAAAAGGCAAAAGTTTGGATGAAGGAGAAGAGAGAGAGTTGCCAAGTTGTTACAGAAAAAAAAAAAAAAAAAAAAAGGAGCAAGCTGCTGCCAGGTCTTGGCACGTGTGCTTTTACTTGTATAAATCAGTCACTCTAGACCTATGGTAGTTCTTGCTGACAAGCTGTCAAGCTCCTTGGCTGAGGGAATAGGGCATGTGCTTTACATGCACTTACAGAATAGTAAACTGTTATTAAAAGTGGAAAAAAAAGTCTGATTTACTTGTGGTTTTGCCTGCTCGGCTGTATTATCACAGAACAAATTCACTCGTGCATGGAGTAGTCAGGGTGCATGGAAAACTACAGGCTAACCTCCCTGGGGAAGCACTTGACCTCTTAAGGGGATAGGCAGAAACAAAACATCCCCAGGAATGAGAATGTTAAATGAAGAAATGGGCTTAAGCCACAGAAATGCTGTGTGGATTTCAAACAGCCCAAAGCACTGGGGGATGTGGTTCACCCCTACTTTGAACTGGACAGACACCTGTGAGCGTCCCAGCCTGACGCAGGAGATGGGGAAAGCACCTCTAGGCAGGCTTAGCTCAGGGTTGGGATCGCGCCCATTGCCCCATAAACCCCAGGCTCATGAGCTGGGCCCAGAGCAGAGCAGCCAGCAGTCCTGGGCTGCCTGGGGTGCAGGGACGGGAGGAGAAGCCTGCTGGTTCTGATGACAAGGGAAACCAGGAGGCATGTGCTTTGTCTGAAGGCTGCTGGACCACTGGCGTGAATGGGCTTTAGACAGCAGGAGATAGGAAGGATAGATGTTCAGCTTAGGGGAAGAGAAGGGAATTAAAAGCAGAAAAGCCAAAAAAGGATTTGGAGATGTTACATGAAGAGAATAAATAGATAATTGTCTGTGGAAAACCTGACCAGACTAGTTCTCTCAGTATTGACTTTGCAGTTAAGTATAGCCTCATCTCTGCCTTCCCACGTTACAGAGCATTCAGCCTGTTTTATCACTCAACAGGCAGCACAAATGAAGGCACATAAATAAATACAGGCACGCACCAGTCTGGACGCCTTGCCTGTGTTACCCCACCAAGCACCACGCTGACACTCGTTCTGACAGCCATCCAGAACCTCTCAGCCTTCCCAAGGCTGATGTCTGCTTTAGTCGATCCCACACTAACTCAGTTTGGGCAGTAATATGGCACCCGCGATGTCAGTCCGCACACCAGACTCTTAGGAAACAAGTTTGTCAGGCAATTCAAACTTAAAGGAATAAAAAGTGGCACCCCACAAAGACACGAAACTTTACATTGCGGTTTGTGGCAACACTTCCAAGCTTTGCTTGGAATGCAGAGAGTTTGATCGTGCTACTCCAAGACCCACAAAATACACAAAGCATCATTATCAGAAGAGACCGACTCTATCTGTATGTCTTTGACTGTATTTCTCAGTTTATGGGGTGCCAGGCCCCTGCTTACCTCTGGTGGAACCTGCTCTCATCTCTCCGCAGGGCTGGTTTGTCCTCATTAGCAGATTTATACCACTCTCTGAGTGTTACTGCTTATTTGTTGTAGTCCCATTTGGAGGAAAATGCTTAGAAGATGAAAACAAATTTAAACATTATTAATATATATATATTATTTAAACATTATTTTTAAAATCACCTTCTGCTAACAGAACTAAACAAAACCCAGCAACTGCTGCAGCCTAAATCTCAGCCCAGACGGAGATCTCATTGGAGCATGCAAGCAGACAAAATGCCAGTAATAATCCTACCACTAACCCACAGGGAACACAAGTTCTTTGGGACACAGACTGTGGGTACAATGGAAAAAAAAGCCAGGAAAAAGAGATGTTTGTGTGGATTTGTAGCCTAATCAAGCACTCCAGGTTTCCAAATCACAGCTCCTGGCCCCAGCTGATGGACTTGCTGCCTTGCTAGCGAGCCTTCAGCACATGACCAGAACAACACGCAGGACACTTTGGGATGGGTTGTGCTGCTGAGGTCTCAGGGCGGATCGTGGGGAGAAGGTCAGGCTTGTGCAAGACTTGTATGTTAAAGTAGGTCACTGATCCAACCTATCCATTTAGGGTTATATGCCTTACTGATGACTTCAGCATCTAACTGTCTTGACAACACCAGCGAGGAAGCACTGCTGCCAAAACATTAATGGATCTAGGGCAAAACTCAGCCCCAAGCAGGAAGCCAGTGCAACACCCAGGCACCTTAACCACATGCAATGCTTAACCAAGATCTGAAGTGCATATAAACAAAATGAATCGTTAGCAAGCACGTTCATAACACCGTGTATGTCCCTGTGTGGTCTCTGCAGTTACACAGTGGTCTGCATCCAACGGGTTCAACAGCCTCTCTAAATGTTACTGGGGATCACTGCAAGTCCTTTACAGATGGGGACAGTGAGGCACAGAAAATACCCACATAGCAAACCTAGGGACAGACTCTTGCCCAAACTGTGGCTTGTGCAACAAAGAACTGTCACTGGATGCCATCTAAAAAAACACAGGCTCTTGGTTTTTGAACAATAACAGCATACACCCAAGCCCAAGTGAACCAAAAAAGCAAGTACAAACACCTCAGTTGTTAAGTGCATAGTTACCTCAAGTAGTTTATTTTGGTCTTCTTTAAAAGGAGTGGCTGTGAACAAGTCATGGGGCATGGGGGATTAAAGGAAGGGGGAGTAAGAGGTTAATTGGATTCTATTTGGAGAGGGATTTACGTTGGCTGAGTTTTTTCAGTCAGCAGCGCATAGTGGAACATGTCACTTGTAATTGAGCTAATGAAACACCTCTGGAGATAAAAAAAAAACACAAGCTAAATTCAGACTTGGCTGAGAGAGTTGAAGTTCATTCACTACAAGGTTATGGAGAGATGCAACTGCTTTGTTTAAGGACAGTGGACTGGAAAGGTAACAGCTGAATCGGTTTTACTTTGCGAAATCTGTTTTTTCTCACTCGAGGCTGCTGGACCAAGGGGTAATTAGGCAGATTGTTTTGCTAAGGACACTCTTCCAGGACAGGAATCTAAACTCTGCCAATATGGTAATGCGATTTAATAAGTCCAGCCTCTCTCCTGGTCTAATGATATTATAGTTGTTTTCTATAAATAGAACACCAAGGGCAAGCACTTTGCTCCATGGTTATGGCAGTGGAACTACACAAGGCTTAGCTGAAAGAGGGCTGCAAATTCCTGGCCTTTTTGATGCACTTTTACGGTGGGTTCCCATCTTCCAGCACAGTTCCTTTCAGTTTTTGTAAGGAGAAACAAGGGATTGTTTTCTAGTTTTCAAAGCTATTACAAACCCCCTCTGACCTAAAGCCAAACTACCAAACATGACTTGAATGCAAGTAAGGGAATACTGGTTTCCCAAGCTTGCCAAAGGGCTAAGCCAGAGTCCTGCAGGGAGCTGCGTCTTCTTTGTGAAAAATGTTAGCGTATGAAAATACCTTTTCTTCCAAGTCAGGAAAAAAAAGGGCGCTTTTAGAAAACCATTACTCCACTTCTTCTTAACCCCAGCCTCTTCTTCAGGAGTTTAAGAATTGAGTTAGCTTTAATGAGAAAAGAGGATGTACTTGACACTCCGATTAAAAAAAAAATCACAGTACTGAATTTTATGCAGTTGTGCAACTAATGTTACAGGCATGAGGACCTCAGTCTTGAAGTGCACTAGAACACTTAGGCGCCAATCTCACAGCTCAAGAAACCCTGAAATGATGTGGCTGCACCCTGTGTAAGAGAAAGCCATAACAGCACGTAGCTCTGCATAAAACACTAAGTTACTGCATGAGAAGGCAGAGTGCAGACTTACGGCTGTAGTCCCTGCATAGACTGAGATGGCAAAGAGATCCTGGAGGCTGTGTTTTCTGTATGCTGCTGAGAGCGATACTTGTACAGCACAAATTGCCTTCTGCCATTTAAATCTTCCTGCTGTGGTTGATTCTTCCCTCTTCTGATTCTTCCTGCTGAGGTTGTATTCCTCCTTCTCTGGCTTTAGGAAGGAAGAGCAGCAGACAAGTAGCTGCTTGGTCTACCAGCCAATACCTACAAAATCGAATGTCTCAAGTTAATGAAGGTATCAAAATAGCCAAGGTGCTGAGGGAGAAGAAAATGTACCCTGGCATGTCAAGCAAGTTGCATTCTGTGCTGTTAGGTCCTTTGTGTCTCCCAACATCCAGCTTAGAGTCTCTGTGTTGGACAGCAAACAAAAGAAAAGCTTTTTCAGAACACGGGTACCACAGACCCACTTTGCGACGGGAATTCAAGCTGGAGGGTTTCTGGCATCATCACTAGGAACAAAGACAAAAACAGATCATGCCCGTTTACAGCTCTGCGGCTGATTCAGTGAATTTGTACAAATGGCAACCGATGGGGAAAAGGCCCCATTGCCACTGGTTCAGCTGCCAGTTCTTGAAAGAAAGGAATCCGGTACCCTCCCCCAAACTGCGCTGCTCCTATAGCGCGGAGACAAAGAGGGGCAAAACCAGTAGCAAAAAAAACTACTTAAAACATCACAGACATGGAAAAGAATGATCTCCATGGAACAGCTTTATTGTACTGAGGGCTCTATAGGCACTCTTTTGATCAGAGCCATACGTTAAAGGCTATCTGTCCTGGTTTATAAACCGTATAATATCTGCGGAGCCAAGAGCTTGCTATTTCACAGTAAGTACTATTAATTGTTCTGGTTATCACGTCGTGCAGTTTGACCTAACCTACTGATTTCCCTCCACTCCTGCCGCAAAACATCCATCACTTTTTAAAGGGTTACATAAAGCTGCACAGAAAGGTTCTGGTTTGTGTTAGCTTGATTGCTATAGACTTTAATAAAGCACCCATCACAGTTGCCTAGCCACACAATAGATCAAACTCCTATAATTCTTTTCATGTCTCCAGAGGGGAAGGCTAAGCAAAACATAAAACTTAACCTCCCAGTGCTTTATTACTGGCCTGGAAAGATGTCAAAGGCCATGCGAGCTTTCACTCTTTCCTCGCTCCCTTACAAACCACAGCAACAGACCAAGGGAAGAAAGCAGGGAAGGCAAGCAGGGGCAGTGAGATGGCAGCATAAAGCACACTATTCACGACACCTAGCAGCACACCGAAGGTAAATATGCAAAAAGACAAGTGTAAACAAGTGGCATTTAGAAACTCAACAGCTAAGATAGGTAGCTTTGAGATCATTTTTTTTTCCTCAACACTAAGATTACACGGGATGAAGCCACTTGTCCAACGTCAACTTGTGGCAAAGCTGGTAGGAAATCCTGTGCAAAGGCTCATCACATCTGACTGTGCACGTAGGACTAGCGAGTGTGCTATATTCTGTGGGTTTCTTTGGCACTTTGCTCACTGAACCTGTTGCATGCAGGGTAGTAAATTCACTGGATGACTCACAGTAGCGTACACATCAGTGGGATGTGTAAGAAACCCATTTTGTGTGGGAGCCTCCAAAATCTGTTTCCTCCTCTCCCAGTGGTAGCAATAAGCTGGAGGCTCCTCTGCATCCTACCACTCAAGGTGGAAAAGGCAAGGATGAGCAACGAAACAGGTTTATGTCTTGTTCCCCATCTCTTCTTGAATGTGCTGCTCCTTGGATCAGCAGGAAAAATACCGGAGGAACAGAAAAGCCACGGGCTTTCTTTGATAAGAGATCCACCTTGGCATTGTTTTCAACATCTACCTCACAATGGCAAATTAATTCCAGGAGGTTAGCTCATGTCTGCACTAAGCCTTTAATGGTGCTGTACAGTAATTGCATCCTGCCTCTACCAGATGGATCACAGAAAATGAGTCAGGTACAACTCCTGTAACAATAGAGGCAGGACTTGGGCTTTGCCGGTACAGCCAGCTGGACAAAGAACTTCCCTGTTTGTTTTTTGTTGTTGTTGTTGGTTTTTTTTTGTTTTTTTTTTGTTTTGTTTTTAATGAATTCACGTACTACCAAATGGGTATTTGCTCTAAGGAAGCATTCCTCTCTGAGCCACCAGATGCTGACTGCGGGATGTGCTGCAGCCATGTTGCCTTCAGTTCCACTCAAAAACATCTGAGCGCCTGCCAGATGGCAAGTGGAGGAAACAACGTGTGTGCCAACAAGTATACGTGGGCCTTCACCTCAGTGGGAATCAGTGACACTGCAATCGCAGTACCCAGGAAAACAACGTGTTGCAGCTTTTTAAAGGAATTTTAAAATAGAAGGAACTCAAACAAAATTAAAATGTTGAATTACCTCACTGTCAGATTTTAAAGAAAAAAAAAGAAAAAGCTGCAAGTCTTAGAAGATAAACAAAATTCCGCCTCTAACACAAATAGAATTTTTAAGAGCAGTTTATTTCTCTATTCTTCAAGATTTTTCATCCTGGGCTTGTGCTCGCTTTTGAAAAAGAGGCAGATCTGAGCATTTTTTATTTTAAAACATAACAAGTCAACCCAACGCCACTTCTTTTTGTTTGGCTCTTTCTTTCTCTGTATTAATTTCAATTCAATCAACGAGGCAGTTGCATAACTGTTGTTTATAATTGCTGTCACGTCAACCTTGAAACTGATCACTGTAACACTGAAGTTATATAAAAGGTTTTGTTAGGATTTTTGTTATTTTTCTCGTTTAAATTGTGGGAAGATGAAGTTCAACACTACAGAGATGTTTTGGTTTTCCAAACTCTGATGTCTATTAATCCTGTGCTTTGGTGTCTTTTCTCTCCAGTTATTTTACACAGTGCAGGGCTCTGTTTATGCACAGAAAGTCTCCAAAAACAGTTCTGTGCACCCCAGTAATACACAGGATATAAAATACACTGTGCTGAGTCAGAGAAGCAACTACCAGAAGTAAAGTTCACAAAATGGGTAAGCTGTTAAGGGACAATTTAAACACATTTCTGGAAAGGCCGAATATTTAAATGCTTAAGTGGACTGGGACTGTAATTTACCTTGCTCTTCTGAAGCCAGCGGACTGTTACCCTTCAGCAATGTAGTAGCAGACCCTGAGGCATTGTTTCTTCTTCTATGCATGTCAAAATGCCTTCTTCATTTACCTACATAAAAATTATCCTGGAATTGAGTCATCTTCACTTGCCTGTAAACACAGCGTAGTCTCCTTGCTCCTCTCCCAACACTTCTGTTCATTCTTTGACTCGGAGGTGTACTTACCTGGGAGACGTCTCCCCTGTCTGCAAAGAATTCAGACGATCCATTTTACCACTAGTTTTCTGTTTTTCTAGAGATTTGAGTGTCAGGGACATACTAACAGATATCTTGGGTTCAAGACAGTTTGAAAGCTATACTGCACTGCAGTCTATCAAATAATTTAGGACTGTATTTTTTTTAGTGTAAATGAATACTGCCCGTATTTATTTGATGTTACTTCATGCTTAACAGTAATCTGTAATTGACATTGGCTTTTCTTAGAAATGGTCTGGAAAATGTCAGTCTACGTGAAGAAAAAAATAAAGAGAAAACTAGACTGAAGTGCCATTCACATTCCCCTCCTCCAAAATAAAAATATCTCAAGACCACAAAATATGTCTGCTCCCTTACGATGAATATCTTGGCCATAAGTCCTGCCTTTCTGTTTAGGGATGAGCACAGGATCACATGAAACCATGCCTCTGCTTTTCACCCCAAACGCAAGAGAAGTGTGTAAGGACTGAGAGAAAAGCAAAGCGAGGTTCTTGTGGAGTGTCAGGCTAGTAACCTGTTCCAGCCAACTGCGAATCAACCAAGAAAAGCATAGCAATACCGGCTGTAGGGAAGCAGCAAGGAAAGAGTTGGTCAATCGATGTTTTTATATGCTTCTTGTTCAAAATTCTTTCTGAATGAGCACATACAGATTGTGCGTGCGCGCGCGTGCGTGTACAGGGGAACAAGCAGTACTTTGTGGGAAAAAAACTGTTATCTTCTAAATGATGGAAGTATTACAAAACACAGGACCTAAGCATCTAGTTTTATACAAGCATATGGAAGACTGGGAATGCAGTTGAGCCAGATGCAGCGGATGTATTCTCAGAGATACTCCCACGTAAATCCAATCAGAACTATGAAGAACAGTTGTATCCAAAACAACAGGGGATCTAAGAGCCGGTGACAGCGGCATAGCCACACAAATTAACATACAGTTGGGCAAAGGAGCTCTCTTATGCTGAGATTGCTAACTTCAGAATTCTGATAGAAGGTTTAAGTGAGATATACAAATAGATGCCCCATGAGCTGCTCTCATAGCTTCACCAGGAGACTGACTGAGATGAAGACAGCTCAGGATCAAAGATTAATGCAAGCCTTTAGAGTAGTTTTTGAACATATGGTTTTCACTGGGAGTTTGTGGCCCGTTTCTAAAGGATTTGTGAAAGGCAAATACAAAAATCAGGGCTACTATCAGTAAGTGCTTGTTGGCTATACAAGTGGATCCATATCTTCCCTGAAAAGCGTTAACATATCCAAAAATCAGAATAATTGAAAAACTACTCAGAAGAGCTCTGAGCTGTAACTGATGTACACACTTACCCCTGCTCTGCTAGCTCATGGTCTCACAGCAATCTGCGCTCTAAGAATGGTGATGACAGACTTCTGCTCTGAACTCTGGAGATGCTGCATGCACAAGCAGCTTGGGAAAAGCGCTTTATACATGATCCAAGGCAGGTTCCTCTAAGCAGCTCCATTTTCACCAGGGTATCACATACGTAGGAATGGTGCAGTAAGCCCTAGGAGAGCGCTGTTCCCTGCTCTACTACGTTCTCGGTAGCTATGAATTCAATCTCATCTCAGCTGCTCTCCTTTGTGCAAAAGAAAGGGTACTTCATTACTGTCAGGAACAAAATGCTTAAATGCTGTAAGTAATCCACAGAAAATCTTTGATAGTGTACACTTGCTTTGTTAAGGATCTCTAAAAGATGCTTCATGCTAAACTTAAACATATGGCTGTGCTTTGCAAAAATCCACTTCAGTCACCAGGCTGAACCTCGATATCCATCAAAGGCATGCAGTTTAACAGTCCTGCCTTAGCTTTATGACAGTGTATGTTCATATACAGTCATACAGGCTTTAGATTTGTAATGGTCTGCTAAACATCACTGCATACTCCGAACTGCAGTCTGTCTTCAAAGCAAATGAATTCTTTCTTTTGCGGGAGAACAATGGAGTCAAAGCCTGTACATTTCAAACTTTAATTCTCTCCAAAGCTTTCTCCAGATACGTTCCATCTTCCAATTATGCTTTTGATAAAATACTTCTGTCCCTATACAAGGTCCTGAGGAACGCAAGAAATTGGAATTCATAACTCTCAACCCTCTCTATCCAAGGTTCACTGTGGCTGCTTACGCTGCTCTGTGGAATGCTTTTCCATTATTGATTTATTTATTTATTTTCACTCCCATGTCAGATGCTGAACACAATTTGACTCCTAGCGCATTAATCATGTCAGCCTGCTTGTTATTCATATAGGTTACTGGGCAGAGTTATAATCGTTTCAGCCAAGTAATTACAAAACTTCCATTTTCCTACCTGTGCCCTAGCTACGTGTTGATCCAGCCGGCATTCCTGCTCGGTCAGACAGGTGGGTCTGTAGGAGGCAAATTAATTTAATTGCAAGGGTTGCCAGAAACAGCAGAGGTATATTTTAAATCCCATGACTCTTGGCTGTTTTATGACTATTTTGAAGCGCACGGCTGTGATCACGATGACTCTGTCTACTGTCCTTTTTAAACATCTTCTCCTTTGACTAATTTGATTGGCCTCATTCTTGGCTGGCTTTCCATCAATAAAGCCCCACTCAAAAGATGGCCCCACCGCTTTTGCAGAATGCAGCCTAAAAGAGAACATTAACAAAAGGAAATGTAATAGACAATGGAAAATTAAACAACGTTTACTTTACTCTTAATACTCTTTACTCATATAACTCCTCCAATCGTTTATTAATGCTTGGTCTGTTTTAAACTACCCTTCCTCCAAAGACAGCTTGAGCAACTGTGAGTTCTCCTCATATTCAACTATTTTGAGACTAATTATAAGCAAAAGTTTTAAGAGAATGTAGCTCTAGCAACAGGACTGCACCTTCTTACACAGGGTCAAGTCTTTTGTACTATAAGACAAAGTCTGGTGTAGTTAAAGAACGACACAAAGCAAAGATATACTCCATAAAACATTAATATTTTAATGAAAAATCTTAGCTTCATGTTTCTATCCAAAGACACTCAAAACTAGTTTTTCTCCCCCCTTAATTTTGACCTATAATGGGACCAGTTTGGATAATTTTTTTTTGTATTTTAGAACATTTTTTTTTAAAGATTAAACAACCAGGCTAGCAAAAAGGTACCCAATACATACTTTTCTTATATCAAACAAGCTAGTATTTCAATACAATGTAACTATACAGAATATATACAGTACACATATGATCACAAAGCAAACACTACAGGCTCAGAACAGATTTGAAAAAACATGATATTCACATTGATTACAATAACTCTAAAAATGATTGTAACGTTGAAACGGCACTTAGTTTACAAAAAAAGTCACAAAAATATATATAGCCACCAAGAACTATGGTTCCTGAAAAATACTAATAGCCAGATAGTATTATATAAAATGTGAAGTGTATTTAAACATCGTATACATTAAAAAACAAAACCAAAACCAAAAAACAATTCTGTTAAGTCAATAAACATGCCAAGTAATCTAGCTGTGGCCAGCATCAACAAGAGAAGCTGTACTGTGGATGAGATGACGACTGGATATACGGCTGGTGACCGGAGACTGGCACAGTTAAGGGGGTTTCACTGTTACTAAAATGCACAAAGAAGCCCAACAATAATTTAATTCACATTTTTCCTCCAGCTTTACTCTTTCCCTCTTCGGGGTTTCACCACAGGGCAGCACCTAGA